TGGACAGAGTCATATGGGACGAGGAGCAAGGTAGTGTACTGAGCAAAACGCCTGGTGTGTTTTCTGTGTGGATATAACAAATCCATGTTCTTTCTTTGTGGCTGTCTTTTTTTTAGGGGCTATTCGGGATCATCCCAGTCTCTTTCTAACGCTCTGAACAGACAGAACCAGCTTATGCAGGGAGGAGGAGCCTTTGGCCGCCGCTACTAACCTCACACACAGTAACAGACTGTAGAGGTCTAGGTCCGGGTTTTGTACAGTTTTGTTTTATAAGAATAACACAATTGAATTGTTTTGTTTTTACTCCTGATTTTGTTTTGCTGCCGAGTGTGTTCTACTTGGTGTACAGTCATACAGTGCACATGTCCCCTCATTAGGAGCAGGCTAATTAAAGTCTCATTATTTTCATGTGGTTGTCTTGGTATACGGACCTCACCCAGACTCACCTGGGCCACACTTGCTGAAGCCGTATTTAATTTTGGTACAACCTTTTGTTAATATGCTCATATTGTTAGTTAAGCAGACTTGTGTCTTTTGTTATTTGATCTTAAATGGTATTTGCAAGGTTTTTAAGGTTAAGTCTGTCTTTCACATTATTGAACATAAACTGAATGAGTACATGTTCCCTGCTTCACTTTACTGTAATAAAGTAACTTCAAAGTCTTGTTTGATGCATTTTAGTTGTGACTGATAGAAAAAGCTGTGACTTAAATCTTAATTTGTTTCCTTTATTTAACCTTCCTCCTGTGTTAGCTTTCCATCACCATCTATTGTGTTAACGGGTCAGTTTTGACCCGTGTTCTAAATCAGCTGTGAAATACACTTAAAGTAATTATCAAATTTGTTTCTCATCTCTTGGTTACCTTGTTAGGCTTCCTTTTCCATGAAAATGTTGGTTTTAATGTCTTTGGTGGGGGCTTCAGCTCCTATTTTTATCAGTATACCCCTCTATTTCAATACAAAGAAAATGGTAAAATTAACCTCAAGAGAATAATTTAACTACATAAAAGTTTTTTAGTGTTACTTGACTTTTACTGAGGGGTATTAGAACACATCTGTAAAATTAATTTTTTTTAATTTTTTAATTTTGATGTTCTTAACTATAGTAACATCTATGGTGTTACGGGTCGATTTCGACCCGTATATATTTACAATGAGAAAGAGGCTAAAAAGGTATTTTTTTTTAACAATTGAACGTCATTATCAACTGCTATTACTACTTGGGTAAACCTGACACCTCTTCCGTTTACAGTCAGGTGAATTGAGTGGGGTTGTGGCTGTGGTTGTTGTGGCTGGTGTTGAGGCACGGCTGGCTGAGGAGGATGCTGGTGTGGATGGTCTTTGTGGCGTGGATGGAGCTAGGGGGGCTCCACAGTTGTCTGACCAAGGCCTTAAGGCCTTCTGGATCTCAGGACACCCTCTCTCTTTGCTCAGCATGCACCCTGAATTTCCCAGGTCCTCAAGAAAAATTCTCTGCTTGTATTTTTTGTTTGAGTTCCACCCTTGGTCGATGTGGGTCCACAACACAAATGCATTATATGCAGACACATCAACCATGTTGTTGAACACAATCATGGCCATCTTCTGGTCATTCGTTGGCAAGTGTAGGTGACAGTCAGCTTGTCCAGGTTGTCCAATCTGCCTTTGTTTTTGTTATAGTCAATCATAACTGTGGGCTTTCCTGATGACACGGCTGCATCTTTTTGGAGAGTAGACAAAAGTACCACACTTAGTATTTTCTTTGGACAATATGAGACAACACTGGTGGTGTCTGTAAAAGTATATCTTGAGGAAAATGAAGCCCTGCCTTTCACCTGCGAGATTTCAGCAGGCAGCTTAGGTTTATTTTTCTTTATCATGCCCACTATGGTAAGTTTCCTCCAAAGAACCTCTTGTCCAAGGTCATAGCTGGTTAAAAAGTTGTCACAAGTGATATTGTGACCCTGTAGTCCAGTATTCATATCAAGGACCACACGTTTTCCTTGTTTTTTTCTCGGGGTTGCCACTCTCAGCACTGCCTGTGTGTTTGCAGGTAAACAGGAAAACAAGACAAAATGAGACTCCCCCAAAGCTCAAATTATTGGAAGAGGAGCTGGTTATCATTGTTTTGACTGACAGTGCATTTATGATTTCAGTTTTGGTTATAATTATTGCTTTTTAATCAAATTTTTATAACCGGGTCGAAACCGATCCTAACACCACAAAGGGTATATTTTTAACCAGAGCAATTTAGAATAAAAAAAAAAAAAAAAAGTAATTATTTTGTTGAAATAGATATTCCTGACAAAGTCAAAAAGCCTTGATGCAATAAACTAACCCTGTGTGGTTCTTTTATACATTTTAAACCTAAAACGGGTCGGTGGCGACCCTAACACAAGAGGAAGGTTACATTTTAAGAACATGACTTGACCGCATCCTGTGTATGAGGTAGACAACTCTTGGCTGTTACTGATAACAATTCTCATTTTGCTACATTGTTAATTACAGTAAAACTAGAAATTATGGTCAAATTGTGTTGTCTGAAAAATCATTTTCAATCAATCAGAATTGTTCATGTGTCTCATTTGGGTTACCAGTTTCAATGCTGATGTAGAGTTTGTTTAAACATAAAGGGACTCTGATCTGAATCCTCACTGCTTAAAACCCAGCACCTGCATTCATTCATTCATTACTCAGTTTCATTTGTGTATTTCAGTGCAATGCAAGTAGAAGTAAAGAATACTGATGAATTTATCCACAAGCTATTCGTAACAGCTTTTTAAACTGTCCAGTAGAGAGCGCCAATCATTTACAAATTCGTTTCCTTTCCACCTGAGATGTGAATTTTTATAGGTACATGGGGTTACAAGTGCCATAGGATTTCACTTTAGGGGTGACCGACCTTACACGACAATTTGACAATAGCCAATTTAAGTGAACCAACGTATGTATGTTTACATAGATTCCCGCATTGCCGTGAGCTTGAACGGCAGGTATGTTGGAGATGTCAACATAACATCACGTACAGGGAACACTAGTGCAACGAGGACAAGGCATTTGGGTGAGAGTGCACTGAGCCTTTGGTCTCATGCATCTGGTAAATGGATCCAACTGATGAGGGCAGATGTTGAGTGACCAACAGCAGCCATTGCATTCAAAAATAAAATGGAGAGGAGATTAAAGTTATGTGGTCAGTGCATATGGAATGCATGCTCACATATGCCACTGGGCCTGGTGTCACTTCATGCTGTGAGACATTATTTACCCAGATTCTTGGCCTTTGGAAATTCAAATGTTTATTGTTTTAAGTTTTCCCTTTAAGAATGAACCAGATGAACTTTTAACTTCTCCTTAACAAACATTCTGCCAGTTGACAGGGTGCATCAGGGTTGTTATCTGTATGATAATGATGTTTTGAAGCTTAATATAACCACAAATTGTAACCTTGAAATGCTTACCTCTAAGTATTTTTACTCTTCTAATCACATTGGCAGTAACGGACAAGCCCCGCCTTGATTAGACATAAAAAAGGCAGTTCTTCAGAGTGGTCCCTATAAGTTGTTTACTGAAGATTGCTGCACAGGGCTGCTGCAGGTGGGGGTGCAGAGCTTGGGTCATATATTTGCAGCCATTGTTTGTGTTTGATTGTACTTATGTGTTAGATGGTAGATCCCCAGAGATGGATTCACCAGGAACTTTCTTTTTAAAAAGAAAGAGAAAAAAAGGCAAAACAAAGCTGAAAAAACATTACAAGCTCTGCAGCTTGTAGGCCTAAGAATGAAATCTTTCAGCTCATATAATAATTTACAACAATTAAGTAGGCTACATTATACACACCATATAGGCTTATTTTGTATTAAATGTTAAAGTACCAGTTTGTCAAGGTTGTGGTGCAGTTCATTCTTTATCTCACAGAGGGTGAGAGATGAAAAGAAGATACATTTCAGGAGCTAAAATGTGTCAGAACACTCTGAGACCCTTAGAATCTTCTGCTCTGTGTCCAAATATATGTCTGACAACAATGGATGCCCTATGTGACAGTGGACGTCAGTGAAGACAGGTCTAACTAGACTGTAGAGTGACTACAAGTCACTCATCAACAGAAGACAACGTACATGACGAGCTCAAAGAACCAAACACAGCACACAGGTATCTGATCAGTGACATTCCACTAAGTAGAACACTGAACTTGTTATGTAATGGCCTACTTGCTTTCTAATGTAGTATCTGCAGAAACATTCATGCTTGAGGACTTAATCTCTGCAAATAAAACAGTGCACATTGGGACTTTGTGCATGCACATGTTTTCATGTATGAGTACTATATCTTGTTTTACAGTGAGTGGTCATAGAAGCTATGGTGTACCACAATGCAGTGTGATAAGAAGACTGCTGGAGAACCACAGGTTTGAATGAAAGGAAGCTCAAAAAATAATTTTATATATGTGTGTATATATATATATATATATATATATATATATATATATATATATATATATATATATATATATATATATATATATAGGTCATGATATCTACCAGATATCTAAGCACAAATTTTACTATTGCTTTAAAAACAATCATCTACCAATGTTCCCTTTAGATTGCACTATATATGAGTGTAAATTGTTTACAAGACACACGGTGACTTAAAAACTTGTTTGGCCATGATGTTTCTCAGAAAATCACTCAGCCCACACAAAGATATTTCTGAAAACATTTGTGAACACAGCCTTTAGTTCCTATGACCTATCCACACTGCCTATATGTCATGACTTCTCATGTAAAGCTGATCGTAGCATACATTCATAACATCCTAAGGGTATATTTGTCATTTTCATTAGACACACCTAAATGACTGCCCCCCTTCTCATTGAAATCACATCAGTAGACCAGGTCACTGATCTGTTCTGTCCCTCGTTAAACTGCCTCAGCTCGTGTACCGTGGCCTCAACATGTCCACTTTGAATAGAGGGGTAAAATACTGCCCTTCTCTGCTCACTTCTGCTCCACTTGCTCCTTTATCACTGTGTGTGCTTTAGTAAAACACTTGTAAAACTGTGAACCACACTGGGAAGCCTTTTCTCTCCCTCACCATCCACGCAGCAAATCTAGTCTTTTTATAGATTCTTCAATAGCCAATTATAGCCGAATTAACTAGAGAGTACTGTTAACTATTTGGAGGGTCCCTTGGGTCTTGAGATGCTCTGAACCTTATGATAAGATAAGAAACTATGACTGGTATTTTCCTGGTATTTTCTCTCCAGCTGGAATCAAGGTCCAGTCTCAATTTCCTGAAAGACTTGTCTATGCATTGTTGTGTCTGGTTTTGAAGATGGCAATGGAGGACACTGGGAGACAATCACATTACAGATAAGAATGAGGGAAAACAGTGATTTGTATCGGGGGGGAAAAAAAAAAAAACTTACAGAAGATGGCCTTGCAAAGACAATTATTGTGTCCTATTGAGACAATAAACATGAGCAGTTAGAAGTTTCAGAAATTAAACTGGCAATGAATAGTGGACTTTTCCTATCCCCTCTAAAGGTTCTATGTCATCAACTTCTGTGCGTTTTAGGCCATGTTAGATTATTGCTACCTCCAAAAACACAAAACAAAACCTGGAGTTGTGTTTTGTTTCATTGACACATGTTTGAGCAATCCTTTATTAGTCTGTTTACATTTCCAAAGCTCACAATGCTCTGTTCCACCTTGTGATGCCATGAAGCAGTAGTTTTCAAGTTAACAGGTACCTTTTACTTTTAGTTCAAATGTGATAGAAAATTCTACAACTAAAATCATCCAAATGATTCTAGTGAAGGTGTTCCAATTTTAAAAGTACAGCGGAGCACTACCTTTTTCCTAAACTGTCAGTCTTGTGAAGGTTACATCAGAATGGGCATGTGGTTAAAATAAAAAAAAAGATTAAACCTAAATTTTAATAGCATTTCAGAGCATGTTTTATGCTGGAGAGTCCAAGGCAGCCCCAATTCTGTGTTTGGGGGTCTGGCATTGGTTAAAAACTCTTACAACCTCAAACCACAACTGTACACATACTGTAATCAGACCATGTGCAAGATTATTCCAGTTTCCTTTTTTCCTAGAAGCAGGTCTCAGTGACTCATCAGTTTACAAACATATCATTTATATGCCAGCAAGTCAGCAAAGTTTTACTGTCTTTCTTTTTCTGCAGTATAAGAAAGCTGTGGGAGCTCCTGCACATCTTGCATGCCAGTATATGACCCAGATAAAATGCATTATCTTTTTTTGTCAGAGTTTGGCATGAATAAACTTGACCATATGTTTGTGTGTTCCTTTCCGATTTAAACTTTTGCTTTGAGTGCACTGGTGCAGGACTCAGCTTTCAGATAGAAAAGCTCTTGGCTGTGCTCGATTTGTTCGGCTGGATTTACACTAATGCAGCTTGCTTTGACCGACCTAATCTCACAAGTACAAACACGAGAATGTGAGACAAATGTGTGGCTTTTTGAACAGTTGCAGAAGAAAAAGAAAAGAATCAAATGCAAGGAGGAAATGATTGTTATTTCTACGTGATTTTGTTAAAGAAACTGACTCTTAAGATGTTGTGACCTCATCAAAGCATTCCTGGAGTTGTGCTTTGTTTCATTCACATGTTTGAGTAACTCTTTATTATTAGTCTGTTAACAACTCCTTTTACCTTTAGTTCAGTAGATTTGTAATTCCAGGACTGATATTATCTAGCCCTGGAATAACTTTTATGAAGAAAGAACATTATAACAGATCAGAAAATAGTGTAACATGGACCCTTTAATTTCCTTACTAGATCTTGTTGCAATAAAGATAACACAACAGAAGATTTGTTCTGAGTTTGGCGATGTACTCTGGGTGAGTCTGATTAGTGTGTTTATTTAGTGAGTTGCAGTATGTCTCTCTTAGGGGCAGGCTTAAACATGGCAGGCTGAAATGGAGATGAATAGGTTGGTGATGGGCGTAGTTCTTGTGAGTAACACTGGGGTTGGGTCAGCTGGGTGTCCATAATCATCACCTTCACTGCACACACATCACAGACACAACAGGCCTATAAATAAAATATAGAAAGAGGTAATGTTGTGGAGCAGATGTTTACAAGTGAAAGTTATTCAAGAGACTCAACATTGTAAATGTATCAATGAAAGAGAGAGAAATTCTTTATTAATCCCGAGGGAAATTTAGGTTTTGCTGCAGCAAGCTGTTGCAGTTTTGCTTTAACATTTACATACACATTTGTGTTTCAGTCTCAGGAGGACTGGTCAGGTAGGGTCAGCAGATCTTTGTCAGGGCAGTTTGAGGAGAAGAAGAGCCAGACGTCTCTGTGTCCTGCAGCATCACAGCAGTGTCCAGGGAGGACCAGGTGATCACAAGAGGAAGGGCCTCACTCGAGTGATTAGATTGATGATGAAAAGATTCATTCCCTTAGTGTTTCCTTTGAAAAGTCTTGGAGTATTTTCTTTGAAGCCATATTTGCTGCCACACAAAATATCCTGAAGTGTCTCAAATGAAATTTACATTTGCAACAGTACATAAAAAATGAAGATATTCATGTCATTTATCTATGCAAATTAAAGCAATAAAATGTTCTATTCATAGATTTCATCTTCATGGATTTCTATGTTTATGTACAAGCAACATTTGTTATTTTGACCTGGACAAGGTAGATTTTTTGTTTTGAAATGTTAATTGCTATGGCAACTATGCTCATTTTTCATCAGTCTGAAACCCATGGATACTCTTGTTCTTAGTATGTACGATTTGATGGGAAGTGGATCATAACAACAGCATAATTAAAAGTGATGCTACTTATAAAGCAGCAGTAGCCTTGTAGGATCAGAAGTTAAGTAAAGTACTGCATATTAATGAACAAACTCACTGAAATGTATTGTGTAAGCTGGCTTTTGAATCACTGTGTTTTCGCATTTTACTCATGACCTTAGGGGACTTTTTAATATTATTATTAATCTACAGAGACAGAAAAATGTTTAATGACACATGAGAGGTGAAATAAATGCAAAGAACAACATGGCAGCATGAGGTATTGTCCACATGATATTATAATCCAAAAGCGTCTCCATAGATTGATTAGAATAATATTTCTTCACGTCAGGCTTGCCTTAAAATGAAAATATATCACATTTAAAAACATAGAAAGTGTACTCTGTAAGTTGTCCGGTTTTGGTGGAATGAAAAACGGTGCAATAATATTTTCAAAGTATCCTGTCTTACTTACACATGTTTTTGATTTTGGAGTCTGTGCCCCAAAGTGCCCTGGTGATGAGTTTTAAAATACTAATATATATTTAGGCATCATCATCATGTGTCCATTTCTCATAGATTACACATATAACAAGTAATACAGTAGACAAACCAATCTATTCATTTAGCTGTTTTGTTCAATGTTCTTTTCTTTCTTTCTGTGGCATTAATTGTTCTGATTGAAGCTGTTCAACCAATGAGAGGAGGAGACTTGTAACACACCCCTACTGCTGCTACCATTTTAAGATGCTTCTTGTTGACCTGGTGGCACTGACCTCCAAGACATAAAGGCTTTGCAGTCATGTTGTCACCACCTTTATATATAGGCAGTGGTGGAGGGTAACAAAGTAAAAGTAGTAAAATACTGTACTTAAATCTTTTAGGTAGCCGTACTTTACTTAGGTACATTTTACAGTGGATACTTCTTACTTTCACTACACTACATTTGAGAGCAGGTATCTGTAACTTCTACTCCACTGCTTGGACTTAAAAATAAAAAGTTATTTTCTTATTTTTATTTTTATTTTTACCATGTTTGTGGTAATATCCTGATAAGGGGTTTAAGTTCAAGCTTCAGCTTTGAGCAAACAAAAATAAATACACAAAATTCATAAGAAAAAATAAGAATTTGATTCATATGGACACTGTTAACAAAAATCTGTATTTTTTTTTTTAACAATTAGTCAAGATCTGTGTGAAATACTTTTACTTTTTACTCATTTTTAAATGGGTACTTTAATACTTTTACTTATGTAGATTTCTTCATGTGTTACTAATGATTAAAAAGTTTGTTAAGTTTAGTAGGGAAATTTAAGTTAACTCTTATAAGTAAATATGGCTTCAAAATACAAAGCATATGGGCGGTTTGTGTGCAGATACCTAAGAGAGGGTCCTGTGTTAAAGATTGTGAATGATTACCTCACTGATTTAGAGCGTGACTGAAAAAACCCGCCCACTACCTCTCACCAGCCAATCAGCTTCGAATATTTAACCCCAGCCACCCATATAGATGAGTCGGAGCGGCAACTCTGACAGACCATAAGAAAGTTCACCCCACAACCACAACTCCCACACTTTGTATCCCGCTCTTCAGGCTCACCCGATTCGGATACCTAAAAACAAAAAAACTTATTATTTTTGGGGGAAGTTCAAACTTTTATTATAACATGGAAAAAGAAATAAGGCATCTTATCTCTGTTTGGATATTTCTTGTTAAAATCTTTGGAGTTTTTTCCTCTGAACCAACCACAGATACATTTGGTAAGTAACTATCATTCCCCTCTACTTTAATTTAACTTGTTGCAAAGGTAAGTTTTCATTTTTGTTATTAACCCATACCTAAACAGACGTGAGTAGGTTAATTAATTCGCCCTTATTGTCACGAGTTTTACACAGTGAAAGGCTTTGAATGTGCAGGTCTGGTGCAGGTCTACATCCCTCCACGCACCATTCATGCTCCATGTGCGCACGAAGAAAAGCTGCTATTGGCCCTTTGTGAACAAAAAGAAAAGAAGGGGCAAAACGGGGAGAAGGAGGAATTTAGACAAGTTTTGCATATGACTTATGCTTTGTTGATGCCATTTCTACTGTGTGCTCAGACTACATGAGCCAAATTAGCCTGTATAAATAATGTTCACTTTTTGCCCTCAGTCTGTTTCTTTATCTCTTCACTTTACTCATTGCTGCTGCATTTGTGTTTCATTCTTAATTTCAAGATATTTAAATGTAAACGTTAGATTTAGATGTCTTTTATAATAAGGACAAAAGAGGGCGACACTTCCTTGTTTTATACTGCTCCTACTTGACCCGCTGGTTGAGAATGATCCCTAATGGCATGTGTGTTTGTGCACAATCGTGCTGGTTGTTGAATAGAAAGCACTCTCTTCTGCTCACTTGAAATTTCAAGTTTATAGAGACATAAAATCAATAGACTTATTGGTTTTATGCTATATATGCTGTCTATGATCTAATTAAATCCATTTCCCTCTCCTCTTACAGTATTGTGTTGCTTGTCTTGTTTTTTTCTGTTATTATTTCATGCATGACCTTGGTAGTCACTATTTTGCCCTAACCCTGTGTTTTCTCTGGATTTTAACAGTAAACAGCACCACAGCTCCTCTGCCGACCACCACAGAATGGATCGCAGACTACACTGACATACTGTCTAAGTTTTCCCGACGCACTGAAGAGATCCCAGATGAGGACATGTGTTACATTGAGCCTGGCAAACCTGAGACCATCAAAGAATGTGAATTCAACAATGAGACACAGACTTTCATTATTATACATGGCTGGACGGTATGTGAACCCAACCCTTACACATGTCCCTTATAATGTCTCACAAATATAATATAAAATGACAGAAAGAGGTTAACATGCGTGCATACAGTGTATTTAAAGTTTGCATTGCTCATTTTAATATGTAATGCACATGTATTCAGCGGCAGTTTAACCCACTGACTGATGTTAAAGATGTTTTATGCTCCCAGGTCACAGGGATGTATGAGAGCTGGGTTGCCAAGCTGGTGACCGCCCTGTATGAGCGTGAACCCAATGCCAACGTGATTGTTGTAGATTGGCTGAACCGTGCCAGCCAGCATTACCCCACCTCTGCTGCCTACACCAAACTAGTCGGACGTGATGTGGCCAAATTTGTTACCTGGCTACAAGTAAGACTTTCACTTAGTTTCACTTACTTATCCAAACGTGCAGCTGGCCCACATCTGCAACTCCTATTTTCCTGCAACTGCTTTTAACAGTAAACATTAACAGTTCTTCACACGCACCAGTTCTGTAAGGGCCACAACTGTGACAAATGCGTACCTGATGATGCAATAGTCTTTTAATATAACTTAGTGCTGAAAGTGTTTTTCTTTTCTTCTGATTTTAAGCAGACCATATATCTTTTTTATGACTGTATTTGCGGGTTGCAGCAGACGCTCATTACAAGGCAGAGTATTTAATGTAACACAGCTATTGTTTCATGACTCATGGCAAAAGTCCATTACCACAAGTAGTTTCTCACATTTGTTTGGAGTTTGTATGTGCAACTATTTTTGGTGTTCATAGTAATAACTGCCTTCAATTTTCCTGCAAACCCTTTTAATACCTACAATGGGTACCGCAAAGCCTGCCAACAATTAAAGGGAAAATGTGCTGTAATGTAAAGACATGTGTTTATTTCACCCACCTCTTTTCATGCAGAATGAGCTGCAGTTGCCCTGGGACAAGATTTATCTGCTGGGTTACAGTCTGGGAGCACATGTGGCTGGAATTGCCGGCGCCCTCTCCGATAAGAAAATCAGCAGGATCACAGGTAAGAGGAGCAATTAATAATACATTTTTTTTAACCTTTTCTGTTTCAACATGCTCTTAAATCTGAAAATATTGATGTTTATATTTACTGTGGACTAAATGAGTCCTTGTGTGCTGTGAATATGAACGTTAACCTTTCCTAAAACACTGGCAGCAGCGGCACATCAATCGAATATAAGCTACTAGTGTGACTACATTCCAGGACTGTATTGTGCTTGTGAGCCTAAAGAGAGAATGAGTTTTTCCCACTTTCAAATCTCCCTGTGACCTGCTTAGAATAATATAGTATGTTTAATGTGATCTAGGGATCTCAGAATTTTCCATTAAGGCTTAATTTGTTGCTTATTGAAAAGAACAGAGAAGTGGAATAACTGGGTGCTGATTGTAGCACATTTGGGCCTGAATCAGCCTGCTTTTTGTTCTCAGGTTTGGATCCAGCAGGCCCCACGTTTGAGCATGCAGATGACCAGAGCACATTGTCCCGAGATGATGCCCAGTTTGTAGATGTGCTTCACACAAACACCAGGGGCTCTCCAGGACGCAGCATCGGTATCCAGAGACCCCTTGGCCATATCGACATATACCCAAATGGAGGTGCCTTCCAACCGGGATGTGACATCCAGAACACCCTGCTGGGAATTGCATCCGAGGGGCTCAGGGGACTGCAGAGTATGTCACTGAACCACTAGCATTTCTTATCTTATTCATTTTATTTGGTCAATCAATCCTGTTTGTTTTGTTACACACAATAATCTGCTCAATTATTACATTGTCAAAGGCCAATCTGCCTAAATAGAGTGTGTCAGGGAGAACTTCCAGCATACAGCCATTGCATACATTTTGAACTATTAGTTTCTAGATATACGCGTTCAATGCATTATTCTAATGTAATTAACTCTGTGTCACTTTCCCTCTACAGACATGGACCAGCTTGTCAAGTGTTCCCATGAACGCTCCATCCACCTTTTCATCGACTCTCTGGTCAACCTGAACCAGCAGAGCATGGCCTTCCGCTGTAACTCTAAAGATGCCTTCAACAAAGGCCTGTGCCTGAGCTGCAGGAAAAACCGCTGCAACAAACTGGGCTACAATGTCAACAAAGTCCGCTCAACACGAAGCACCAAGATGTATCTGAAGACCAGAGATATGATGCCCTACAAAGGTATGTGAAAAGAAGCCGACAAGAAAAAAATAAATAGATTTTAGTACTACAGAATTAGTTCGAATTAAGTAATTTAAGCTGTAGTTTCAATCATCTTGAAGATACGAGTTGTGTTTCTGAATGTTGTGCAGACAGTGAGTGATACACTACTGTAGAGGTCAGGAGTATTTTGAGTCATGAGTTGTGCTTATGTAATGTGACACCGCTGCATGTCATACATTAGCAATGGAAAAAAGTCTATTTGTACACTCTGGCAAAGGTCCAAGTTGGGAGACAATTGGAAATTTCTAGAAACTATGATGCTAAGTTTAATATAAAAGACTTTATAAGTGATCATATAGTAAAGAGGAACATCTGTTACGTAAGGATTTCTTGGGACTGAATTAGTTGAGTGTTAGAGAACATGTGAGTGTGCAGACAGCTCCACAGGCAGCAGGCCCAGCTGTTCAAAAGCACTCATCATATTCTTTCTCTCTCTCTCTCTCTCTCAGTCTTCCACTACCAGGTGAAGGTTCACTTCTTCAGCAAGGACAAACTTAGCTTCACAGAACAACCCCTAAAGATTTCACTGTATGGCACCCACGGAGAGAAAGAAGACATCCCCTTTGTCCTGTAAGTGTGTCATAAGTGTCATGCAAACCCCATATTCACAAACCAGGGAGTGTTAACAGGTGTGCGACCTCAGCTCCAATCTGGGGAGATTAAGACTGCACGGTGTTATTATTTTAACAATAAAAATTCCAGTAAATGAATATGCTGAATGCCGTTCAATGGTATGGTATTGAACTATAGTAGAGTATACAACATTTGCATGGAAACAAGTAGGGGTAGCGGACAAACCCCCTATCAGAAATGTTACATACCCCACCTTCAATAGTTAACCTTTCTGACCCTGTTCTCCTGACTATTTTTCAGGCCTGTCCTAAATGAAAATGCCACCCAGTCTTTCCTCATCACCATCGACGCAGATATCGGGGACCTGATGATTGTCAAGCTGCGCTGGGAGAAGGATAGCCTCCTCAGCTGGAACTGGTGGGGCAGCAGCAAGTTCCACATCCGTAAACTGCGCATCAAGTCCGGGGAGAGGCAGTCAAAGTAAGAACCAGTGTGTGTGCCATTGTGCTATTTGTGACAATCTCAGAAGAGCTGACAAAAAAATTTTACTCAGATACTAATCAATACTAAAACTACCATTACAGCTAAAAGCTCCTTTGAACAAGTATCAATACTGAAAAAGATCACATCAATAGAACAGAATTGGATCTTTAAGAATACTTTTGCTGTATTACAGAACTGGTATAAGACCATAGGGTTATATTAAAGAAGCTGTTTTGTGTTTTTTAGTGCTGAACTACAACTTAAACATACTCAATATGCTTGAGCATCTATCAAAATATAACTTTGGTTAAGCTAATGATGATGGAACACCATTATAGCATGCAGAAAAGCATACTAGAAATAACATTATATTGTCAAAAAAGTTACTGAGTCACCGTAAATGTTGTATGAGAAAATACAACTAGAATGAAAACCTGACCACTTATCTTTCTTCTTTTCAGAGTGGTCTTCAGATCAAAGGATGGTGAGTTTGCATACCTTGTTCGGGGTGGAGAAGATGCAGTGTTTGTTAAGTCAAAAGAAGACAACCGCAAAGAGAAGCTGTAAGTACAACAGATGAAACATTTGTTGGAACATTTTTGGTCAATTTCATCAAGTAAAATTTACCTTTATTTTTTACAGGATCCACAAAATGAAAACTGAGGGTAGCCAGTTTGGGCAAGACATACAGGCATAAATTTGCACTTAAAAAAACGTTGATTTACGCCATTCGCTTTTTCAATCGTGACCAAAGATGGACTAAACTACTGTGAGATTCTACACGAAAATCAACTCTTTGGGGACTCTCACATTTCCGCATTTCTGCCATACAATTAAACCTATACAACCTCACCCAACACCATCATTAACAGTAAAAACACTGCTGCTGAAGATAGAATACATTATCTTTATAGAGGATGTCCTAACTAATTGTATTCTTTTATAGCTTTTGCCGCATATTTTTGTTTTGTAATATTGTCTTGCTTTTATAGTCTTTCTGTTTGTATGTTTCTGCTGCCTGCGTGAACTTGGAATTATTTTAGTGTAAATAATTTGGAGTGACAGGCATAATTTTGGCACATCTTTTGGTGAATATGATTTGATTTTTTCTGTTTCTTCTGACCACTAATTGCCAACAATCAACAGGGACCAAAGAAGTATTAAGTCTACTGAAGAGAGATTTGCTCTGGTTCTTTGTAAATAGACTTGTGAAATCAGTATTATATATTTTTAATGTTAAACTGTGATCTGATTAATTATGCGTTGGTTTTGTGTCACTGGTCACTTTAGAAGGCTCTTCTGGCCCTGACACCATTTAATAGATTACAGTTGAGGTGCAGAGATGTGCATTTATGTTTTTGTACCTTTAGTCACTTTGAATCTATTCTAACTGTGACTTTCACTGACAAATTGGTCAAATGTGTAACTACTTCTGTCACCAATAATGAATGCTCTTTTTAAGGTCAAACATTTTGCTTCCAATAAACTGTCTCTGTAATATGTAATGGACTGGCCTGCCTTAAGCCATAATGCATCTCCAGAAACACCCTTTTGTATTTATTAAATGTACAGAACAAATCTATATTTGTATATTAAGCTGTAATATATTTTGCCAGTTTCTATTGTTAAATGTATTTGTTTTCCAACTGAAGCATTTTGTGTTTTATGCACAAAACTTAAGAAAGCGTGATCACATTGGTCACAATGTCAGCTGCGCATTCATTTGTCTGAAATGAAATGCAGTGCACTGTACAAATAGAGGGTCCAAGATGGATTAATAAACAAATCATTTAGAATCCCAATGACTACTCAAGTTACTATCAACAAAACACCAAAATGTTACTACAAACTAATATGGCAAAGAGACAGCATGACAGCTCTAAGCTCAAATGTGAGTGGGCGATAGCAGGGACTTAGAGAGAATTTAAAATTTTCATGTAAATGTTGAGGTCAATGAACAGTGCTAAAGTGGTGTATATGGGCCCATAGTACATGGCTTGAATCTAACACTTTGTTGGGATTTTCACAATATAATTTAATTTGTCTGTGGTCTTTCCTGCCACAGCACAGTTTCACCCAACTTTTGCCTTAAGTAAATAAGCTATAAAACTCAAACTGTTAACATGTGACTTTTATCATTAAGAACCACACCGCAAACATCTGAATGTCTGAGGAATACTTTTAGTCCTGTTTGCACTCTGCAAAAAGACCAGTGTGTTTCATCTCTATCATATGAACAGCATCAGACCAAGTTTGTATCCCACTAATGACTGAAAACAAATTACATAATAAGTCTAAAATGACGCAGCTTTAACTCTGAGTGTGTACATTAACATCACTAAAACAGCTCCTGGGTCAGTAGAAAACTGTAATAAAAGCCTGTACACAGACTGTGGTAAGGGCTGGATGTCATACTATTTGGTCATCTTTGACTTGTTTGTGGGGTGTATATATTTTTCAACATCAACGCTGTTTTTTTTTTTTTTTTTTGACCTGAGTATGTAAAACACATGTATTCTCAGAAACATTGTTGAGAAACTGAAAACTGAGTTGATTGCAAGGTTGGAGGTCTAACACTTTCTTGTCTTCATGAAGATGTTTTTATTTTTCTATGAATATTACACAGTTTGCCATTTAAATTTAACTCTTTAAACATATAATTTACAGTAGAAAATCATTCATAGTGGTGACTCCCGGCAAGGGCCAGAGTCACAGTGCAAAGTGGTGGAGGCCGGGACTCTGAAAATAACCAAACACAGACACTGGTATTCAACGAAAATGTGTCACGTTTCTTGGAAGACCTCCCCCAGATGTTCTGCTGAGGAAGCTGCTGCTGGAAATGTGGGTCTGGGTGCCACAAGAGAAAACAACAAAGGATGCAATGTGTTTTTATATTCACAGATGCACCAAATTTCAGTGCAAAGAGCTTCCATGAAGTGTCTTTCTTTCAGTCTCATTTACTTGATTGTGTTCAAGGAAGCTTCTGCTCTTCTTGGTTAAATCTAAACTGACCATTGTCCTGGGTGTTGTTGAATGTTCATCTTTTGTATCTTACAAAAGCAGTCTGCTTCCTACTTATTTTGTTTTGACATCTTTTTTTTTTTTTTTTTAATAAATCATTTAACTTTCAGGTAGTGGTGTCTCCTCTCCACAGATCTATTCTGTCCTCACCCTCCACCAAAAAGTGAAACGGTGCACCAAAATACATCATATCACATTGTAGACACATTGCAGTGCCATGTCTGGGCAAAATTTTCTGTTCATCTGATTTGTTCTGATCTAGGATATTTCTATTCTAGTCAAATATCAGTCATGTAAGCTTTAAGCAATGCTATAATGCTGTTACATGTGTTTTGTTTCATTCACACGTTTGAGTAACCCTGCATTATTAGAAAATATCACCAAAACTCAAAATGATCTGTTCCACCTTGTGATGTCATGAAGTTATAAAAACACATTGGAGACCTGTATTACTACATGACATCACGAAGTGGAACAGGGTGTTTTCAGTCTGAGAGGAAAACTCAACCTAAATAAGCAGGGTTTGTGTGTTAAAACTGTGAATGAAACAAAACACAACTCCAGGTATGTTTGTGATGAAGAAACATTATGACATAGATCAGAAAACAGCTAGGCCTTTAAGGGTATCTATGACTAATTACTTTTTGTGTTGAACACAATCTTTGACATCACAAAAACACAGGAGGAGAAACCTACCCCTCGAGTCGTTACCTGCTTGTAACCAGAGTCATGTGACCTGACTTTATACAAAACAAAAGAGCTCTTGCTCCGACCTCAGCTTCCAGTCCATTACAAATATTGTCAGTAGTAACTTATGGTAAATAGATCTGGCCACATACAACGCACGCCTGGTTACACAAAAGAACAAGCATTTAAAACTATTGCTACTATTCACAATGCAATATGACAACTACTTACCTATACAACTAGTCCACAACCTGCTAATGACAATAATTATTTATTTTCATTTGATTTGCTCTTTATTGAGGACAAAATGGCATACACATGATCCATAACAAAAATACTAACAATAAAAACTATTATTATTAATCACCAAAACGTTACATAAACTCATATGACTGCAGATTAGCCTACAAATGTTTTAGTTTTATTAAGTCTATGCGATTAGATGTGGTATTGTTGACCCTGCACATAAAGTGGTCTAATCATTTACCTTACAAACAATTTTCCACTCCCCGCCCGAGGTCAGTCGCCCAGCCAATGGCTCGTGAGAGGTGCTATTTAAGACGCGGCCAGTTCAAGGTGCTTCAGAAATCAGCTCTGTACCGGATCAGGACGCACGGAATTACGCGCGAGTACAGGTTTACTCTACTGTGACCACGTGGTTCATTTAAACGTAAAAAGACGTTTGTTTGAAAAGATTCTTCAGTAAAAGAAATGAAAACGTGGAGCGTTCGCTTTCTTTACTTTTTGTTCTTAATCGCAGCTGTGCAGAATGTGACGTCCCTGGAAGAGGAGCTCGCCGACTCTATTTTTGGTAGGTTCCCCGTTCAGCTTTTCGAGATATCACCACAGACTGTGTATACAGTCTGTCACCGAGCTAAAGATTAAAACAAGGAGTTACAACTTCGAGCATGTGTATAGACGAACACTTTCATGAATACAATTGATATGAACGTGCATTGTGCGTGATCAAACAGTTGGGAGCACCAGCGCTTTTTTATATCAGTGTTTTTTGTCACTCTGCATCCACATCACTGCACGCCACGGTATAAATAAAGTTCTGCTAGTAACCTTCTCCAGTGTCAGTTAAGTCACCATGACGTAGAACTGCTCAACCCCTAAGTGCAGCAGAGAGAAAGCGTTTCTGCACTGAGCACCCTGGCAAGTTCATAAGTTATTCTCGCTGTGCAGAAATAAGAATAAACATACTATTTCAAAAGTAAAGTGTTCCACTCCGCTGAAACGTTGTAAACGTCTGTTTTCTATATGGTCCCTACCCCCACTGCGCACTCCTCCGAGTGGAGTCAGCTGACTCAGGCTGCACTGAAGTTGTGCAGATTATTGTCGGTGAGATGGCAAGAACAAAGCCAGCAAATCTATTGGTGGTTACTATGGAGCTCTGTCTGACCAAGTGAACCCCCATAACCCCTGAGCGTTGATCTTGTCTAAGGTAGAAGTCTATTTACTGAGGGGGGCCTCCAGGGGCCACAGCTTATTGGAAGCAGTCACTCAGTGAGCTAGTCAGGCGTCTTGGAATTCCCACCCTCAAAACATCAAACAAGACAAGACATCAGCTACAGTCACATTTGTACTCACATTGTTTTTCAGTCTTTAAATCTGAACTTTGTTTAACAGGTAATTTTCTGGATCCTGTCAAGGATTTGTTTGAGCACAGACATGAGACCAATGGAAGTCTGGTCAGGTTTTCTTTGCGTAAACCGTCCCATCCAGATGATGACGTGTGCTTCATTGCCCCTGGAAAAGCAGAATCTCTCTCAGCCTGTTCCTTCAACAGCTCCGCCAAAACATTCTTAGTCATCCATGGCTGGACGGTGAGCACACACGAGCCCAGACCTGCCTCCCATTACTGCCTCAAGCACTTTGTTTGCTCTTCTTCATTTTACTGTTGCTGAAGCAACATCTCACCAAAAGCTCATTCCACATTGTTTTAATAGGATGCATAACTAACAAGCACAATCATGCTCTGACCATCCTTCAGTGAAAACTGTAGTTTACTCTCAGAAGAGAATCATTATTTATCTAAACATAAACTTCTGTTAATGTCTGAGGTAATAAATCTTGCTGTTTTCTCTGTTTTCATTAGTTGAGTGGCATGTTTGAAAGCTGGGTGGCTAAACTGGTGTCAGCCCTTTATGAGCGAGAGCAGACCGCTAACGTCATCGTGGTGGACTGGCTCAACTCGGCCCAGAACCACTATGTGGTGGCAGCTCAGAAAACGAAATCGGTGGGGCAGGAGGTCGCCCGCTTCATCGACTGGATGGAGGTCAGTACACATCTGTACACACTCAAATTACAAATACCACAAGTTAGAGTTTAAGTCAGTTGTACTGTGAATAACAATGTGTTTTTATTATTAACTGTAGGAAGCCACCAACATGCCTCTGGACAACCTGCACCTGATTGGTTACAGTCTTGGAGCTCATGTGGCTGGGTTTGCGGGAAGTCATGCAAACAATAAAGTTGGGCGTATAACTGGTAAAAGTGTATTTAATGAATAGTGTGATGAGGTGTGCTGGCTGTGGTCTCATATGTGTTTGTGCTCAGGTCTGGACCCTGCTGGCCCAGACTTCGAGGGTGAGCACGCGCACAGACGCCTGTCTCCGGACGATGCTCACTTCGTGGATGTGCTGCACACGTTCACTCGAGGATCTCTGGGGCTCAGCATCGGCATTCAGCAGCCTGTGGGACACGTCGACATTTACCCCAACGGAGGCAGCTTCCAACCAGGCTGCAACCTCAGAGGGGCCCTGGAGAAAATTGCAAACTTTGGCTTATTTGGTTAGTGGCTCTTCAACATTTAAACCTTCATTATCAGAACAGAGCCTTAAACTAAATAAATGTATTTGTTTCAGCTATAAGTGATGCAGTGAAGTGTGAACACGAGCGCTCCATTCACCTGTTCATTGACTCTCTGCTCAATGAGAAAGAGGCCGCCCGGGCCTACAGGTGCAGCAGTAATGACGTGTTTAACCGCGGCATGTGCCTCAACTGCCGCAAAAGTCGCTGTAATGCGGTGGGCTACGACACGAGAGTGGTCCGCAAACCAAGGAATGTGCAGATGTACACAATGACCAGATCCTCCATGCCCTTTAGAGGTTAGGCAATAGAAAATTAAACTTACACTGTCTTTAACATTTTGTAATGATCTATAATATTTGGTTTGTGACTTTTTAGTGTATCACTATCAGCTGAAGGTCCATTTCTCCAGTAAAGTGAACCGCTCTGAGATGGAGTCATCACTCACTGTCTCACTTTATGGAACCAAAGGAGAGGCCGAAAATCTCGAGGTCAAACTGTGAGTTCAATACTAACATTTCAAGCTTAAAAACTTAAAAAATAATAATAATCACATTTATTTTGCACTCTCTAATTATCAGAAAGGAGAAAATAGCCACTAACAGGACCCAATCTTTTCTGCTGGTGACTGAGAAAGATATTGGTGATCTTCTGATGTTAAAGTTTAAATGGGAGGAGACAAATGGCTGGTCGGCTGCAAACATGCTAAAGATAGTCTCATCATGGTGGTCCGGTGAAGACGAGGGCAACAGCATGGACGTCCACCGGATCCGCATCAGGGCGGGAGAGACACAGCAGAAGTAAGTGCTTTATGATACAGGAAGAGCTTTAGTGGTGCCCTGAATGCACTTCCTGATCAATTGTGTTTTGTTTTTTTGTGTCCCAGGGTGGTCTTCTGTCTCAAAGACCCAGAAGCTCACAACTTAGACCAAGAACTGACTTTTGTAAAGTGTAAAGATGCCTGGAGGAAGGCATCAAGGAGGTAAGGAGAAACCTTTTATATACAATCATGCATTTTCAATTGTATGAGGAAGCCTTTTGACTAAAACTTATATTACTTCTGGTAATAGAGTTCGTCTGGATAGTCTCACATCCTCAAGATGATCCCAGATGTCCATTCTGTTAGCACTTATAATTTATACACCTTTAAACATACCCTATTGTAAATATTTATATAGCATATAAGATAGTAATACATATTTAAAACAGCCCTGTAAATGTTGTACAATTTTGTAAAATTTGTCTTTTGTTTTTTTATATATATATATTAAAAGCACCGTTGATTTTCCTAATGTACCTAAAGTATCTTTATATGTACATATTGTTTGTTTTTGTTTTTTTACCAATATTAAGAATCTGTCCTGTAATGTTCTGGAGGTACTAAAGTCCTGTTTGTAAATAGTGATGTATTTATTAAAACAACTGTTACTTAGGTTGTGCAGACTGCTGCCACTTCTCCAAGAGCAGATAAAGCAGTCTTTAAGGATCTTCAACATGGTACATGTTACTGTTTATGTAAGTTCAGCGTTTCAAAGCATTCACCACTGTGGCTCTTAGCATTAGTATTTGTGACCAAGGGCTTTATTCAGTGTGCCTTACATCAGAAGTAGTCTACAGAATAGTTTCTTTTGCTGCTCAATACTTTTGATTGTACAGAAGTTACTCTAGTTACCTCAAAACTGGAAACCCAGGGGACTGTTGTAACTTTCAGGAGTAACTCTTGTTTTATTGTGACCTTAAACATTTGCACTGAAAACAGAACATGTAGCTGAATATTTTCATATCTATATGTAAACACAATTATTCAGCTCTATGCAACATGTATATAGTTTTCTCAAATGCCTTATGTAAATGTGTAAATAATCACCAAATAAATTGATGGGACAAAATACCTTGTTGTTTTGTTTGTTTCATAAAATGTACAATTTTTATCATGTAGTTTTCACAATTCAAGGCTGTGTGTGTTTTCTCAATATTTCGTTTATCAGTGTTTCATTTCAAACCTTTCCTTATTTGTTTTTGATAAAAATGAGCAAGAAAAGTTAAATCACCCAAACTAAAACTTTGTAATTTCTTGGTATCCTTGCATTTTGAACAACATGGATTTATGTCAAGGTGACCCAGAGGATAGACAAAATCAGGAAGCATACAATTAGTTTTATTAATAAAACTAGTCTTATTAAAAAACAATCCAGTCATAATAAAGTAGTACCAAGTAGAGTTATCTTGGTAACACTTTGAAACAACTCCACTTTCATTTGTTGTAGTGTCATTCATAATGAAAAATTACGTTATAAAGGATTATTAAGGCTTAGTAACCACTTAATTAAGTGGTTATTTTCCAGCGATAGGGTGTTACTTAAAGGTGCACTATGTTACATTTTGGTTGGGGGTCCGTCATCTCCTTGTTCCTATGGATATGTCATTGCTCTGCCTGGAATTTTCTTCAGTATGTCATTAATCAACTCTATCTTACATTTACTCAATTACAGGTAGTTTTATAGATCAAAAATCTGACTTGTCTCTCCACAGATCTGATTCACTAATTCACAGATCCACAGATCCGTAACTTGCTCTGGTTTGGTCTCCATGAAGATAGAAAGGTTTAATACCATAATGTGAAACATTCCAGACAATGCAATAACATCAGGGAAGAAAAGCTTTTGACGGGCTCTCCATCAGAAAAGTTACACAATGCACCTTAACAGTCACTTAGCCTGAATTATTGTTAATAATCTATTTGTTCATTATGAATCCATTGTTTCTTTCTTTCATGCTTTATTAGTAGTTTAGTTATTATAAAATGCTATCATGATATTTATTCTGTTTTCAATTTAAAATTGTGTTGTAACTGTTAAAACTGTCAATTAAGTTCATATGGGCACAAGGCCAATGCAGCTTAGTCCATGCAGCAGCCTCTTTACAGTTCTGCAACAGGTGCTCCGCTCTTATTCCCAGTGTTTCATGATCCAAACGACCCACAGATGACAGCAACATTTTCCACAACACTTGGCCCCCTCCTCTCACTGAAATGTCAACTGACGTCAAACACATCAGGTGACCAGGTTGAAGAAAGGTGAACCGTGAGTGTCAAAACATTCACCAATCACAGTGCTCCTGGCCCTGTTGTTTGGCCAGGGTAAAATGGTCATCTCAAAATAGTTGTGTCCATAGTTCTGCTACAGACACAAACAATGCACCCCATCACAGCAGACAGAACCGCCACAGTCAGCAGAATGGCCCACCAATAAACCTGGAAGAAGACATCATAAAGAATTAATTACTTTAGTTTTGTATTCTTCAATTACTAGGGCTGAACAATCAATTAAATGACAAACTGAGTTGGTGTAATTCAAATCACAAATTGTTTAGATAATAGTATGTCCAGCCTTATATATATATATATATATATATATATATATATATATATATATATATATATATATATATATATATATATATATATATATATATATATATATATATATATATATATATATATATAGTGTTTCTCACCTTCCACGGTGGTAGGTCTCTCTCACCCTCATTGAGCTCGGGTCCTCTACCAGAGGCCTGGGAGCTTGAGAGTTCTGCGCAGTATCTTTGCTGTTCCCAGTACTGCACTTTTCTGGACTGAGATGTTCCATTGTTTTTCCCGGTATCTGTTGAAGCCACTCTTCCAGTTTGGGGGTTACAGCCCCGAGTGCTCCGATCACCACAGGCACCACTGATGCCTTTACTTTCCAGGCTCTCTCCAGCTCTTCCTTGAGCCCCTGGTATTTCTCTAGCTTCTCGTGTTCCTTTTTCCTGATATTACCATCGCTTGGTATTGCGATGTCCACCACCACGGCTCTGCTCTGTTTCTTATCCACCACCACTATGTCTGGTTGGTTCGCCATCACCATTCTGTCAGTCTGTACCTGGAAGTCCCACAGGATCTTGGCTCGGTCATTCTCCACAACCTTTGGAGGTGTTTCCCACCTTGATCCTGGGGTCTCCAGCCCGTACTCTGCACAGATGTTTCTGTACACTATGCCCGCAACTTGGTTATGTCGCTCCATGTATGCTTTCCCTGCCAGCATCTTACACCCTGCAGTTATGTGCTGGACTGTCTCAGGAGCCTCTTTGCACAGTCTACACCGTGGGTCTTGTCTGGTGTGGTAGATCTGGGCCTCTATTGCTCGAGTGCCCAGGGCCTGCTCCTGAGCAGCCAGGATCAGTGCCTCTGTGCTGTCCTTCAGACCAGCCCTCTCAAGCCATTGGTAGGATTTCTTGATATCAGCCACTTCAGTTATGCTTCCGGTGGTACGCCCCATGTAGGGGTTTGTCCTGCCATGATGGTCCCTCCAGCACCTCTTCCTCTGGACCCCACTGTCTGAGACATTCTCTGAGCACCTCATCTGCCGGGGCCTTGTCCTTGATGTACTCAAGGAGCTTGGATGTTTCATCCTGGACAGTGGTTCCCACACTCACTAGTCCTCGGCCCCCTTCCTTCCGGCCTGCGTACAGTCTCAGGGTGCTGGATTTGGGATGGAACCCTCCATGCATGGTCAGGAGCTTTCGTGTCTTATATATATATATATATATATATATGTAAACATATTCTGATATCGTGTATTAGTTTATTAGTTCATATTTCAGTCTTCTCTCAAATGTTAATGCTCCTGATGTTGTCTTAACAGAATCCCACTTTTTGAACATGTTCTGCAAATCTAATTGCAATTCAGAATCAAACTACTATTGTCATCCATTGAAAGTAAGTGGAGTGTAATTACGTAATTATATATCGTTGACGCGTTTTCCGTAAAATGAGTTGATAATTCTGAAGGTGCTGTAAGCTCAAAGCACATTCCTGATTCTCCACGCTCTCAGGAGAACGAGCAAAGCTCCTTTTCACAACTTCTACAATTGACCCATCGCACAAGTAGAAATATTTGCTGCTATTGCTTCACCTTTACATACAAGGAAGTGGGTGGGGATAGAAGATTGGTGAAAACAGAAATTTTCAGAGCACTCAATCCTTGCATGCCGGACAGGATTACTCATGCAACTGAATGAAAAGGCAACATAAACAAAGCTTAATGTGAGGAAACACTGTTATGAACGTTTGTAAAAGTTGATTTTATATACACAATATGTCTGGTTTCATGGAAATCACTTTTCTTCCAAATATTTCTCAAATTAATGAATATGCTTGTATTTAGTTTTATCACCTTCATCCACTCTCCTAAATCATCAAAGTCATCCAGGTGCAGAAAGGAGTTTTTGAGTCTGGCAATGGGCCCATCTGCGTCCAGGAGGCGACACACATGGAACTTATCACAATAGCCCTGATTCCCTGAGCACGGAGCCCCGCCTACAAGAGGCAGTGCTTTCCTCTGGAAGTGATGGGACAAGACTGAAGAGGTGGTGCTGGCACATGTCTCTGGCTGACCTGCACACAGATATGTGCAAATACAAGAATTCAGAGCATTAAAAATTAAACAATTTTGAATGACTTATTCTTCCCATTTGTTAAAGCAAGCTATCCGTGAGTTTCTGCGTGATGAAACATTAATACTGTTGCCACAGCAATTAACTAATTATTCTTTTAAATGGCCCAAAGTCCTCAAAATGTCAAATCTATTCACTGCACAGACAAGGATTACAGTACATTTCATTTGATCAGGACACTATAGTAAAGGACAAGAGTATTCCACAATAATAACAACAACACACGTTTCTGTGTGTTGCTCAACAAAGCCCAGGCCATATGGTATCTGTTTGTTGTCGTTTAATGGAAAATTCTGACATGTCAGTGGGCTCAGTTGTATTACACAGAGATGTAAACACATTCTTTGGTGGGGCACATGTATAAGCTGTTACCAGGCTGCTGGCAGCACATGTGGCATTTCTCCTTCATAGAGTCTCCAGGACAGTCGCACTGCTGTAGCTGGTGTCGAACACAAACAGACTCCGCACACACCTGGAAAGGAAAACTTTGTTATAAATAGGTCTGTTTTATATTAATATAGAAAAAGGATTGTGTGTAGTTTAAAACTAAATAAAAAAAAATGAATAATCAATCTTAATATAAATCAGCAAAAATTAGTACAGCACATCTCTCATAACTTATGGACTAGAGATGCGCGGATGGGCTATTTTTTCATCCGCAACCGCGACACAAAACTCATCATCCACCCGCTTTTGCACCGAAGGTTTTCAAAACCGCACCCGCCCGCCATCCGCCGATTGATTTTAGATTTTGGAACAATCATACAGCAAACAAACTAAGGAGCCTCGATAAAAATGCAAACTCTATAGCTCATTCATTCCAAAATTCGCTCAGCGTGTATGTTCGCATTCTTAATTGTCCCTAACAACCCCAAACTTACCTGGTTTTCTTGCGCAGCTAATTAATTGACAACGTTTTCCGACTAGGCTATTTTTGAACCTTCTTGCCTTCGTGTTGGATGTTGTTACATTCTTAACATTCTGCCATTGCCCGATGTTATTTCAAAGTCATAGCCTCACTCCATCTGTCTTTCTTTAAGTTTTAAAAACCCCGAGTGGCAGTCTACACTATAATGTCTGCGTGTTTTAAAATATAACTGATATCGAAACAAAACAGACAGATCATCTCATCCAGATGAACCTTTATTGAAATCAGGCAATGCCTTCTTTATATTCTAATTGAAATAGACAAGAAAAAATATGCATAACTAAATAAATATGGCCCTATAGCCACTTATGTGTTGGCAAACAGCTGAAATAAATTAGAAATAATAAAATAAACTGCATATAATATGTGCCTCGTAAACCTTAGACATCAATAACCTGACACAACCTGAACCTTCAGAACATAAAAACGAGGTCAAATGGGCTAATTAAGGATATGACGTACACTTCATACTACAAGCATAGACAATGAGACTCGTCTTTTCAGATGTAGGTAACAATACTAACAATAACTTTTTTTTTTTTTAGTAGTTAAACCGTCACCCGCCCGAATTTAATTAAAATATAATTTTTCGTCACGTCATCCGCCCGACCCGCGGATTAATCGCGGATACCGCGGTTGTAACCGCAATCCGCGCATCTCTATTATGGACCTAATGTGTTTTGCTAACTAATGTTTCCTGTTGTCCCATTTGATTCTTGGAAAGATAAATGCCTTCACACCAATTCAAAAAATAAAGTGTGTAGAAATTCTGTGAAATGTGCTCAAAAGTTTGTCATTAAAGGTTTGCACACACTACCCCTCAGGAGGCCGATATGTTTAGAGCTGAAACAGTTGGAATCTATTCCCACTGAGGTATCCTCAACAGTAACATTACAGTGAAGACAATTTGGTAAAGATGAATTTTTGATGAGAATTCTTGAAAAGTGCACATGGTGTTGTATAAAACATGTATTTGATCAAACGTTAGCCGTTTTGTTTTTACTGCAGCTGTTTTGAAAGAGGATTCTGTACCCAGACAAGGAGATGAACATACTACTGTTGTCAATTTTAGAAACAGCAGTATCTTCAGAAATAAAAGAAAAAGAATAAATTATAAATGCACTTAATAGCTGTGCTAATAATGCCATGTTATTTTTGGCTTTAACTGGATTTGGCAGCTCATGGCTTTGACCCTGCAGTCAGAGGCGTGGTGCTCACCCCGTTGAGGCAGACGCGGGTGCCCTGGCTGCAAATGGTGAGGTTTTCTTTGGGGTGGGGCTCAGGGCAGTGAGCGGACAGTCCTGAACACACACTCTGCATCTGACAGTCCGTCTCCTCATCACAAACATGACCTGACAGTTTAAAGCCACAGTCCGGCCTGCAGCACAAGCCTTGGCTGGGACTATGCGAGAAGTCATGAGGACACAGGAAAACAACGATTATTGGCACATTCTGATTGTTGCTGAGAAGTAATTAAGAACCACATAAAACATAATTTTTAAATCTGACACCACAATGTAAATAATCATCATAACAAGTCTAAACATCTCTTAATAAATACCTGCAGAATTTATCAGGCTTCAGGCGACACTGGCGTCCAAGGCGCTCCTTTGCGCTGTAGCAGCAGGGGTCTGTGTCATTGTGTCCTACGTCACACTCCTCACCCTCCTCCACCAGCAGATTCCCACAGATGGGCTGATCACTGACTGGCCAAAAGGGATGGACATGTTATCAACTACAAGGTTTTATATTAGTTAAAATATCAAACAACAGACAGAGGCTCTCACCTACAAAGCAGTCATCTTTCTTCAGATGCAAAACTTTACTGATGTGTTTGATGGTGCAAGGCGAGAACTTATCATTGTTCTCTCTGACCTCATCAGAGGCATGAGGGAACATCAGGAATCGACCTTTCCCTCCAGATGAACCCAGGTTTCCACAGTTAGGCCCCTCATCATGCTAGCGGATAAATCAAGTAAACATCGTTTTAAAAATAACAGTTGGTATTGTCAGTGTTGTTAACAGTACAATATCATCAACAGCACAATGACATTTGATGCATTGAGTCTGCCTGCGTCATAGGTTCAGTTAATATGGTACACATGAAGGACAGAACTGTGCAACCAAAATAAACAAGAGGGTGGGAACAGCTGTGGTGTGGAGCAGAGCACTATGGACCATTATATAAATTAGAGAATATGTTTGTGGTGTTTTTTTTTTTAAATTCCTGACCATCTATGGGTTTCAAAATTATTAACTGTTATATCTTTTAAATGTCAATAAGTCCATAAAAGGTCATATTATAGGATGTTGAACCCCGGAATAAGAGGTGGGAAAATAAACAGTGAATGACACCTATTCGATAGATTACATAATAAGTACAGACAGGGACTTCCTTTAAAACAGACCAATCAATAAAGGGCAAGGTCTACAGTGGGAACTGAACTGAATCAATCAGTGATGTTAAAAGTCCTCTGATGTGATGTCAAAATGCAAATACAAAATCAGAACTTTTCAGAGAATCCTTGATTAATCAATTTAGCGACATATGCACATTTTTTCACATATTAATTACAAGTAAAGTAAATATGTGGCCTACATTACAAAAGTGCCACTGACCGGTGCTCCCAAACTGTGTCCGAGTTCATGGGCAAGGGTGAGTTGCACCTGTGGCAACGGCAGGTACTGCCCATAGTTCTGGATTGTGACCAGACCTGTGTTCAGAGTCGAGTACTGGCCATTTCTCAGCTGCATGTAGCCCGAGCAGATCCCTCCCCAGTTACCTGCACACAGAGGAAATACAATGATATGAACTTCCACAGGATTTGACACAAAACATGATGAGCTGTAAGCCTGTGACTTTTTGGGGGGAAAACATTTGACTGCACTATCAACATTCAGTTACAAAAATGCAGATCTTGTCACTGCATTATCTCATTACATAACTGACCTCTGGCTTAAGCTACTGTAAATACCTGCACAGTGTTTACCCCTGAGCCCTTATCGCCCCCTGAGTCCCAGGCAGGGAGGTGCAGATAGAGCCCCTCTCTCACAGCACAGAGGTGAGCCAGTGGTCTTCTTCTCCCTTGTCAGGTTTTATGTAATGACCCCATAGCACATCCATAATGACAAACAGCTGAACTGGTTCACATTAAGTCTGCCTCAAGTCTGCCCCCAATGACAGGAGCGGTTTCACATCTCAGGACTTTCACCTTTCTCGGGACAGACATATTTGTATGTTTATTTATTTATTTAGGGACAATGCACATTAATGAACATCTGTATTAAGCAAATGTAACTTGTTTAAATAAGCTCAAAAACATTAATGACATTACATTGCATGAAAAATTATTATCAATTTATCTATTACAAATGACCAGTACAGATTTTTATATATAAAAGCAAATGCTATATTTACCATAACATATTATATCTTTGTACCCCAGAAGACCAGACTAAAATCAATCAACCACTGCATTTTCCAGTTCACAGTTGTCCCATTTAGAACTGATGGAAGTCTCAGCACTTCCCATAGCGTCACGTGAAATTTACATAACACGTCTTATACAATGTGGCCTGCAATTTGGGGGTGGTGTATAGGGGGGCTCTGCATGGTTTGCAAGGTGCATGTCTGTCAAGGTATTCAGTCCTGTTTCAGATAACTGGACTTTAGCACTGAGAACTGTGGGAACCAGCTGTGGGTATCTGGAGTACACACACAAGCCTCTGTTTGCGTGAATGCAGTGGGCCCACGGGTGACGTCCTGGAAGTGTGAGAGGCTTCAAACAAAAACAACTCACTCACTATCACTATGAGACCAACTGTCCAATAGAGTAACCAGTAAACGGGGTGGAAAGTAACTATTTACAAAAATTCACTGTAATTGATTAGATGTATTGGGTACCAGTACTTTTTTAAACATGTACCTGCAATTGAGTATAATTCTAGCTCATAATTCTAATAGTTGCATTTTAAATCCTAGAAATTACTGTCATAATTGTCCTAATGCACAGCTGTCTCATTGCTGTCTCTGCTTCTTTCTCTACCCATAACAGAAAAAAGCAAGAGTTTGGTTGCGACCATGCAAGTTTGGATAAATGTAGTGAATTGGATAAACAGACTGCATGCATTCCTATACTCAATGGTGGCTCATGCATATCCTCCTATTTGGGACTCCCCTGCACATGTTCATCAAGTATTCTGGATCAGACGCTTGCAGATTTCTTGCTTTTGACCTAAAATGGCCCCCTGACGCGCTATTCAAGGAGCTGGGTTTCCTAGAAAGAGCTTTACTTTGGAGGCTGTGCGGTGGGTTTTGGCAGAGCAGATTTTAATCCCCTACACCTCCTCCCTATCCTTATGTCGTCTCCACAGAAAAGACCCCAAATCAAAGACTAGCTTGCTTGACAAACACGGCAGAAAGAAACTATTTAGATTAGCAGGTGACCAAAATGACAGATTTGTGAACAAACTCCTACACCTTTAAATATTTTGTGGTGTAATAATTGACATGTGTTGACAACACAGGGACCTGGTTAAGAATCTGATCCAAATTCCCTTTTAGGAACTCTAAACAGAGGAAGTATTTTTTTTAAAGAACAAACATAATAGTAAAAGAGAAGACCCTAGAAAAAGTCACTTTGTGCCAATAACACCTTTAAGAGCAAAAACAAGCCCAGCATGTACACTGACCGCTGGTAACACCAGGCAGACAGGATTCCTGGAAATATAGCAGATCTAAAGCAAATGGAGGTAGGTTTACTGTACTCCCCTTCTCTGAGCAGTTTCAAGTTCAATGACCCCAACTAAATTCATGGCATGACATGCACATCTTTACTACTCATTCCGTTGACTTCAAATGAGTTACATGAGATAGAGAAGATTTCTATTGGGCAAATAAACATATTATTCAGTCCTTTAGTGGGTCAAACACGGGTTCCAAGATTTGTTTTGAATATGTTGTTGGCCTCTGGTTTTATTTGATGAGGAAAGAAGAGATGGGGGAGACACATTTGATCATTTAACAAGATGAAGATCCAGACCACTGTATTATAATAGAGAAATTAGGTCTCACCTGATCCTTGCTTACACAGAACTGAACTTAATTTCATCAAAACTGTCAAATATAAATTGTAACAGATCATATTACGGTAACTGAACCCAGGACATTACTGTCAATATATTTATTCATAATACTATTGTTAAGTTTTATTGATTGAACAATGAATACTAAGGGGTCCTTAAGAAATCCCATTCTCCAAAATGTTTGTGAAGCCCAGGATTAGCTGCACATGCAAACTGTCTTCAAATGTTGACAGTGGCATCCAGAACTTTATTTTCACCTGACACAAACAGGAACTTGGTTATTGAGAGCAAAAATCCATCTGTTGCCATTAGTCTCAGGGGAGCAGGAATTTCTCTGGCATGAAAACTGAAGTGGCACAACCCCCACTCTGACGTGTAGGCTGGGATGGACGCCTTGAAGAGGTCAGAGCCATGATAGATGGGGGTTGTGCGTGAGCATGAGGGTATCTCCAATGCTGCTGCAAGGTCTCACAGGTCTCTGAGTTTATGTTGCCACGGTGAAAGACCTCTTATATTGCCTAAGACTGACAATAAACCTCAAGTGGCTTATTATAGTGTCTGTCCTGTGTCAAACATTATCCCAGTTCAAGTTTGAACTGATTGTAGTTGGTCTTGTGACTATTTAAAAGTCGTACCAATGTCACCCACAATTCAACAGGCTTGTGTTGCTCACGTGAAATATGTGCAGGGCGGTCACCAAACACCGCTAAGACACCTAGGTTCTTGTTTATATTTATGTGGGAGTCAAAGGTTCATTAAGGCCTAATCACATGTCATTTGAGGTGGTCTGCTTTCACACCCCTCAGTTCAGCCTATCAAATGCTCTGAATATGTCACATGATCAAGTAGAGCAGCTTATAATTGTAATATCTACTTAATTTTACATCAAAACCCAGATTTTGATATCGCTCAATGAGTTACACTAAACAAGCATGCATGAACAGTAAAGGTACTGTGTTACATTTCATACATTTTACACATTACATTTTTTTGATTCATTTATAATATTTTTTATTATTATTATTTCATACACTATATATCTTTGTACCTTATTTCGTTATCAGTGTATTTTAAGTGTATTTTGAGCTCAGTGGGAGAAACACCACTTCACAGTTGAACCACTGAGGAATTTTAATTGAGGATTGCACTCACGTTTTGTTTTTGTCTTCACAGGCCAAACACTGCTTGTATAACACAGCTCAAACAGGGGCTCTTCCACGGCTCTTCTTTTTGGGTGGAATTTGGTTTAGAAAAAGTTATACAAATGATATTTTAACATATTGTTTGTAGTTTATTTTAAAACTACTGAACAGTTGTAGGTGTGCAGTGAAAAGTTTTCTTGCCAGTGCCAGTTGATGTGTATTTTGTTTTTAGACAATTGTACTTTTATATGGCATTTTCACAATTCAGATCCTCACATGCTTTTGCAGCTGCAGTAGTGCTGTTTTACTGGTCTCATAGTTTTCTGATGTGGCTTTTGACAAAAATTCACAACAAACAGTAGAGGGAGGTGAGCTCAGACAGATTTAAAGCTACACACAGACATGAGACATGATCTATCAACAAATCTGTATTTGTATTGTTATTATAGCCGGTCAGATATCATTATTTGTTATGTATTTTATGGATGAATTACAATAAACTACAAACAATGATTTTAAATTATTTTTACAATGATTTAGCCAAATAAAGTATTATCATGTATTATTCTATTGGCTGTCTTTATTTGTTGGATAAAATGTCTCTAACTTAAGATCTATTCATGTGAATGTGGTGATATATTTCTATACAATTACACTAAACCTTTTGCCAAATGAGTGTGTTATCACATAACACAACACACGGTGAAGGTGATTCAGTGGTTAGAACACTGGCCCATAAAATCTTGGTGTTTGGATCGTAGCTCTGACTAGTGCAGTCTGCTGCCCAAAACATGCACAGTAGTTTAAAACCTCCAGCTACGTACTCCCGAAACTAACCTGTCGAGATCTGAGACCTGACAGTTAGCTCCAATGGGAATGAAGAAGAAGTCAAATGTACAGGCCCTATTTCCCAACAGGGACAAATTAATCTTGTACATTCACCTTGCCCAAGTTTGAATGTGTTGTGTGAGTGAACCATGATGGTCAGCCAAGCTTCTGTACTACCCCAGGGCAGTTGTGGTTACAGTAGTTTACCACCATTAAGAAAGTAAATGAATAAAGAACTACAGTAATGATCTGAAGCTTGTCAAAAAAGGCCCAATAAGGAGCCTATGAGAGAACCATCAGGGCTGTTACCGTAGTCATAGGCCAATACATGCAACGTGACAGATATTTATGTGTAGTTTTGTCCTCACCGTTCTTGCCCTCCCAGGCCAGCCCAAGCACTCCGCTGTAGTCACGGTTGGTGAGCAGGTAGGACAGGCAGTAGTTGCCCCAGTTATTTTCAGAGTAGACGCTAAGCAGCTTCTCTGGGCCGATGTAGAGCCGCTGTAGTGGGTTCTTCTTATCCTCTTCAGTCATCACCTTCATCAAACAGAGTTAAGTTTGAGTGCACTAGTCAATTATCCATTAGTTATATGATGTTTGAGTTATGTCAGTTATTATGTAGTTTTAGTCTTACATGAAGAGACTTGACTTTGAAGTTAATCAGCTTAATCCCATTAAAGTCGGCCTTGTCATAGATGTCATTCACTGCTCGGATGTAGGAGCCAACCTGAAACAAAAAATACCTTAATGTGTTTGTATTGTTGCTTTCAACCTCATCTGATTCTGGAGTCCATGGAGCTGTTATTGGTGTACTTGCAATATTCCACAGTATGACATTAAACTTACTTATCTACCATTTTTCTTATGGGCTGTAAATATAGACTGTATATATACAGAGACATAATCTGCTGGCTGATGCATTCCAAATAGGAAGTGAGCCTGGGTGCACTTCCGGCTTTTTTCGACAGCAACAATTTACTTTTCATTGAAAAATGATCTTTACTTTCTGTAAACTGCTACACTGAGGCTCGACAGTTTAGTCTTAAAATGTTTGCATTAACCAGCTGTACATGATTCTGATGTTTTTCTTTTAATTTTTTGTCCTTAAATTAATTCCAATTCCTAATATGGAACTTGGCTCCAAATTTGTTCCTATAACTGCTACATTTGCCTGGAGTCACTCTCCCTTAGTTTACTCCTTTCTACAGACTATGGGTATAAAACATGCATGCATAGTATGAAAGTGGTGTGAGCATGAGTGATGGTGGTGGTCGGAGGGGCTGATGGAGCAGATTGGCAGCCTCGCTTCCATCAGTCTGCCCCAGGGCAGCAGTGGCTTACCACCACTGAGTGTGGAGTGACTGAATAATGAACTGTAAAGCGCTTTGGGTATCTTGAAAGGTGCTATATAAGTGCAATCAATCAATCATTCTGACTGTGAGTGGGCCCTGAAATTTTCTTGCAAAAATTTTTTATTACATACAGTTTTGCTTGAAAATTGTCTGAAAATAAATGTATTCAATTCAATCTCAAATTATTGAATTGAATCACTGAATTCCACCATCCTTATAAGTGGCTCTATGGGTGAAGCAAGACCCATTTCAGAGCGCCACGTGTGAGACCAGTCACGCGTACAGGTCGGAGATACAGGCTACCATACATCCCATGGAGAGTTTCTATACTGTAAATATTGACACCTTGGACAAAGCAGGAGCAAAAATCAGGTCAGCCATGATTGACAGCACTATCTGTCTATTTACATTGAAAGATCACATCACGGCATCACTTACACTGTATTTTCTCACACTCTGCTACAAAGACCTGGCACCGGACCAGGGACAACAAGTGTGAGGGTGGAAACAATCTAACCCGGGGCAAAAGGGTGATAGCAGAACCGATAGCATCAGGACGCTAACTTTGGCTAAAATACATCAACATTTAGTCAGACTGTGCTATGTGCTGTTGTAAATGAAACAAGCACAGATGTGGAATGTTGACCAGGCCAATGAGAAAGAATTGTGTTGGATTTTAATTTCGACAATGTCTGATGATGTAATTATACAGGTGTAGGTGTCGCTGAAGGGATTTCATGAGAAGATGTTGTACTTTTGACTCCACTTCTCCCAAATGTCAAATAAGTGAAATGCTCTCACACCACAACGTCATCTGGTCTAAAAGCTGAAGTCAAAAGTATATTTAAAACGTTATTAGTAATTTATAATAGGGCTGCAGAATGAACTCTTCCTCACTGTTCCTAAAGCTGGAATACATATATTCTGTCTGATTTCAATCAAGTAAGTGAAATGCTCTCACACCACAATATAGTTCTTTATACAGTAAAGTATAATAAGAGAAAATAAAATTGGAAATCAGGATGGATCAATATGAGGAAAAAAGTAATAATATTTTGTCATAGTGTCCTATTTTGAGGTCATTTATAAGGTTTGCATGAACGAGAAAAACATAAGAATTCACACCACGTGCTCTAAGGATGTGCAGATAGTCCAGTGGACAGGAGACCCCACACACTGCAGTCTCTTTTCACTTTCTCAAGTTCATCCCAGGTCATTACATTTGAAAGCAAAGAGCTGCATATTTTTCTCCTGAAGCGAATGAATGAAGAATTACATTTTTTTTTACATGATTAGTGGAATAATAATAGGTTTGTTACCAAGAGAGGCTTGATATAAGAATGAAAGCAAAAAGTGTAATTTGCTTCAGCTTTTTATTTGGTTTGGTTATGAAGGGCAGATACTTTAAAGGTGCACTATCTAACTTTTTGGTTGGGGGGCCATCACCTGCTTGTTTGTATGTATATGTTATTGCTCTACCTGGAATGTTCCACGGTATGACATTAAACAGATCTACCTTACATTTATTCAATTACAGGTGGGTTTATAACTCAGAAATACCTACAAAAACAGGCATTCTGACTGTGAGAGATGATGCCTCTTCATAGATCTGACCTGTATCTTGGTTTGGTTTGGTCTCCATGAAAATAGAAATTTTTAATACCATACCACGGAACATTCCAGACAAATCTATAACATCTCAACGGAGAAAATCGTTTGACGGGCCCTCCAATAGAAAAGTTACATAATGTACCTTTAAAGATGCTCCCCATGTATTACTTGTTCTACACTATTTGTTACAGTGGAGACTTCTAGGTATGAATTACATGTCATAGTGGTTAATGTGCCCATGGAAACATGCTATTTGGGTAATTTGACGTCATATAAAAGCCACAGGGTTCATACTGTATGGATGTGATCTGAATAGGAAAGCCAATTAATCAGTCAATATCCTGTAGAAGCCTTTGCTTTTGTTTTCATCATAGACTGACAAATCAATTTGATAGCAGCATTCGCCCCTACTCATAGCCTCAAAGACTTGAACACAGTTCAAGGTTTGTAAACAAAGCATCCAACGCTCGTGGGACAACCAGGGAAGTCCTGTGGAGGTTTTATTTCCATCACTGTGGCCCAAACACCAGGAAGTCGCAGTGAGGCTTAATTCAATTTACACCAAGGAGGCTGTCACATGTTGCTCCTGAACTGAGTCAACTACGATTGTGTTAAAAGCCTAAAATGGCATACATAATGTGTATAATGGACGTAAGTGTCAGATAGAGGTGATGCAAGCTTTTCAGCCATCATTTAGCCTCAGAATAAGAGACATTGCTCACTGTGTTCATATTGACTGATGTCAGAGCCTGTATGGTGGCTCTTCTGGGGCATTTTGCATTTTCATTTTTTTGCATGTACTTTTTTTTAACAAATAATAGTGCACTATGTAACTTTTCTAGTGTTTGTCTCTATGGAGTTCTTATATCATCTGGAATAGTTCACAAATGATATTAAACTTACTGCCATACCCGGCAAGATGTCAGGCAAAGAAGATTCTGATGGATCTTCCATCAGAATAGTTACATAGTACACCTTTAAATGCATCGTAGAACTATGTAGAACTTATGATTGTAGCGTTGTCAGTAGACAGTACCTGTGCTACTACAGCCTCCACAGACTTGAATCTGCTGAAGTACAGGTGATCTGCATGGAAGTGGAGCAGGCAGCTGGTTTTTGCTTCATCCACTGTCCTCCTGGAGCGGCTCATTGCTGCCTCCTGTGGACAAAACACTAATGACATGTACTGGGTAATGGAGTATCTCTCAATGAGTTACTAATACTTCAGTCATGTGAAAGGCAAATTAAAACATGAGCTCAATGGACTTTAATAACACATTATACAGGGATCTGTGTGGATTGTTACTGTCCGGAAACATCTGTTTAAAGTGTTTAGATGAGTGAGGGTGGAAATGTTGTGTACATGTTAAAAATGGATCCTTATCTAGACCACTAATGTTGACAGTGGCAGTTGGGAACACCACCTATTTGAGCAAAGGTAAACCAATAATTACAAGACTCCCACAGGGCCAATCTGTTAAATCTTTTGGCAAATGTTGTGGGAAATGCCTTTTATTGTTCTCCAGGAGGAGTATTTTTATACTACGTGATCACATGATAATAAGTAGAGACACAATAAACACACAGAACAATATATAAACCTGTAAAACTACTACTACCATTACACAGCCACCTACTTCAGCCGATGAAGGTCCAAGGCCAAGAAGCTTCATGTGTTCTGCAGCACAAAAACTTACATTTTCACTTCTTTTGGATGGTAGTACTATAAAAAACAAACAAACAAACAAACAAAAGATATCATAAATGTCATTATGTGGCTTATGAGAGTGTGTCAGTACAGAATGTGAAGTGTCATTTGGGCTAAAGTCTGTCATTGATCCTAAAGGAAATCAAACATTCAAACTTGGCTTTAATCAGTCTATTTATTGTACAATTATACAGGGATTGTGCAAATAGTTGCTTAATGCTTTGATCTTCATCTGCCATTTAACCTTGTAAGCAATTCAATTTATAACCTATTTCACAATAATGTGATGCATTCAAAGTTTAAGTTGGACAAAGGCCCTGAAAGTGTGAGTCCACTTTTAGAAAATAGTTTTTGCTGAATCATCCTGGAACACTAGGCCATGGTTTTTCATCCTTTTAAATGTTTTTATTAGGGTTAGAAATCAAACTCAATGTAATTTTTAGAAATGAGACAGACAAAGCATACAGTTTGTAAAATACAATTGGCACAGAATGGAAAACTAACAGCTAACCTTTGTGTATTCAAAGTTTGTGTACAGAGAGGGTGCTGACATAGATAACATAAATGTCCAAAAGTTTTGAGTAAAAAAACATGTGTTTTTAAGCTTGGCAGTGTGCGTTATCTGAACTACGTCAAAGAGGCAGGTCACTGAACATCAAGGACACCATAGAAAATATAGTACAGACTGAAAATGTGCTAAGTTTGATGCACTCCAGCTTTTGACACAAGATAAAAATCCATTGAAAAGGGAACTGATTATCTCAAGGGAGTAACCATAATGAATGAAAACAATACTTGAATGAATGAATGAATAAATAGTGAATTGGCAACAATACAGTAGTTGCTAGTAGGGCTGGGCAAAATGGTAATACACACTGAATTGTGATCTGATTCGTGTGACCATCAGCTATTTTAGTGACAGCATTGTGATTCAGTGCTCCTCTGTTTATTGCATCTCTTCAACCTTCCTATGGAGCTAAACAGTGACCGCTCACCCTCAAGAACTAAATTTCTCATAAATTTTTCTCATATACTTTCTGAAAAAATGTATAAGTTGAACGTTTGCTCAAAGGTACTTTTTGGACTGAAAACAACTCTTAATAGTTTTTCAAACAGTCTATGTGGTCACTGTTGAGTTCCATAGGGCAGCATCTTTAAGGCTCGACACTAAACTCACAGAAGAAGCAGATTACTTTATATGGATCTTAAAGTCAATAGAGTAGACTACATGAATCATGATTAAAACAAAATTTTGATCTGGCCCTAAGAAACATTTTATTTTATTTTAATTTTTTTGGCATAGCACTCACCTCTCTTTGCTCACACACTCAGACTTTCTACATTTAACAGTCTTGCATACAGTCCTGAATGTCTTTGTTGCACAAATTGTACAAATAATGAAGAAACTGTGACACAGGCATTGCTCTGGTGTCCACTGCCCTCTTGGTGCAACTGAAAGCCAAAAAGGGCTTACTAAGTTTGTTTACAGTCACATGGTAGTTAATTAATGCTGAAGATCTGTATAATTTTAAAATGCATTGGTGTTATTGTTGTGGACACAATAGCTTGGCATTCCATTGGTTACAGGAAGTCACATGATGTTAATCCCTCTCACATGTTACTGAAGTGGCAGAATGAGGGTTTGCCAGTTAACTAGTGACCCATATAACCCCTGGAGGTACTTGTAGGTGTTAGGGAATGTAGCTTTCCTCCTGTATCGGACACAGACCAAAATGAGTGACAGACAACAAATGACTGGATCACACCACACTTCTGCAAACCCGTCAACCAATCAGAAACATGCTGTCCTTTCTGTACATGGCATGAGAGGGGGCAGGAAATATAATCCCAACTGCCTGGCCACAAACTACCACCAGAATTATTTCCAGACATTTTCTGACTTGTTCAAATTGTGTCACACTTAATCTGGCAAGAGACATTTGAGGTGAGTGTGACTACATTTGTAACTAAGGTTTTCTTCTCCAAACACAAGATTAATCTACAGCAAAAAGCTTTCCCAAAAGTAACATTCTCAGATTCCCCTCATTTTCCACATTCCCAGCAGCACATTAAACCTGCCTCAAAAGTCTCAGTGCATTTTATTGTAATAAATGTCATGAAAATATTAAATGTTTTAACAGAGCCTCATATAATATTTACCAGTATAATGAACATTTGTGTTTGCAGAAAAGTAATTAAATATAATTGCACTTAGTCTTAGAGGAATAGGAAGTGTAAAAATATAAATAATAGAATAAATGCACAGTGTGATAAAATATTTAGGCTATATTAAATCTATAAAAAGGCACAATTTGTGCAATAGTGTGCAAAGAAAATCCTGTTTACTTTTGCTTTCTAAAATTCCACACTTCAGATAACATTGAATAAAGTAGCTTTTCAGGCACTTCTTTCTTAAGAGGACTGAGGAGAGAAATATACTTTAAGAACCAGAAATGTTCATCCAGCCCCATGCTGTAAAATCGGTATGATTAAAATTCCTTAGTGTGTAAGAATGGGTATGACCAACTGTGACTGACAGGTGACACCACTGGATGACAACAGTGCTTATTAAAATATTGTTGTATTTAATTGAATTAAATTGAATTGAACTGAATTTATTTTAGTCTTAGCCATACTTCCTTAGAGTACAGAGCCAGGCAATTTTTTTTTTTTTTTTGATGAACCCAAAGCATGTATGACTTCATAAAGTAAACAGCACTGTTTGCGAACAAGATGTAATTTCCAAAATAATGATACGACATGGCCTTTTCCACCAAGTGATGCAACACGGCTTCTCTTTGTGGAGCCAGACATTAAACCACAGGGGAAGGACTGTCCTTAAATGCCCCCAGGATACTCAGTATCCGGGAGCAATGTTTCTTAAGTCACATCCTTCGTCTCCTGGGAGAAAGAAAATTTGTACTCCTTTGTTGTCTTAAAACAACAACAGTATGAAATAGAAATTACCTAAGGAGCCATGCATCAGACTATATCCCTTTTCCTACAGCATCAATTGTGTTGTAGTGATGCCGAATGCCAAGATTTAAGAACAGGATGCAGCCATTTCGTAAGCCTGTTTATTGTAGTGTAACGTGGAAATACACAGGAAAAATGGCGGGAAACATGGGGAGTACAGCAGTCTCAGTTGAAAACAAACAAAGCGTCTGTTGATCTACAGTACTTTCCTTGTGACCGAGTTTCGTGGAAAACATTTGAGTCCAAGCCTTAAGACACAGGGCCAGGAACATACAACACACACAAGATTTACCAACAGCTGCAAATAAATACAACTAATCCGTCTTCATGAAAACAAACCAGCTCTAAAATAATTTAAAGTCCAACTGTGAAACTAAATGAATCCATCACCTTACCACGTTTTTCTCTTAAGTCTTTTGTTAGTTTGTCCTTATTTTACCTCAGCCCTTTGCAGCTAAAGCCACCTCACTGAGCCTCTTTTATTTTTGGCTGGTGCCCAACATACCCATTGAAATAATCTAACACTTAACAAGACTGCGCTGGATTCATTGAGCTGTAGTGGCCTCAATTACAGGTTAAAGAAAGCATCAAGGGCTTGGTTTAAGTCATGTGTGATGAATGTACAATATTTCAGTGTCTCTGTCTGAGGGAGGGTGAGTTGCCATTTAGCAGGGGAGATCTCCAGTAGTAAAGAATGGGCCAGAAAATGCAGCTGGAGTTATAGGACATTTCTAAATAATTATTTTCTGATCTACGTATGTTACAACGTTGTTTCTTCTCCAAAAGCATACCTAGAGTTGTGTTTCATTCACACATGTTTAACACACAAATCCTGCATATTTAGGCTGAGTTTGTGATGTCATGTGGTAATGCAGGAAGGGCTCCACTGTGTTTTTAAACTCCATACAGCTTCATTAGAATCATTTGGATCATTTCAGGCCTGGAATTGCCTCTACGTCTATCTCTACTGAACAAAAGGTAAAAGGTAGCTGTTAACTTGACACTTTCATAACATCACAAGGTGGAACAGAGCATTTTGAGATGCAAAAACCTAACAATACAGGATTGCTCAAACATGTGAATGAAACAAAACACAACTCTGAGTATGTTTGTGATTAGGTAACAACATTATAACATGGCTTAGTGTCCATTTGAAGTACTACTACTACTAGATCACCACCACTACTACAACTACTGATGCCAGTAAAGGCTTCATGGCATTATGTACATTTTTGTTACCTAGTCTATTAAAGTCACAGTAAGCCACAGTATATAATAGGTCAAATGGGTCTATCTTTATATTAATTGATCAGTTTAAGAAATTCTGAGAATCTGTTGCAGTTGGTCTTACCCAGGTCGTCCTCATGGTATATTACAGAATGGTGGTCTGTTGTGTTATGGTATCTCTCCATTGATTCTACATGATAGGTCCCATTGGACGTGTGTATGGTGCCTTCAAACTGCCCTTCTATCACAGAGCCATGGCAGGATGAATTATCTTCACCTGAAACAAGGGGAGAGGCTATGTTACTGGGTTAAATATATATGCATAAATTCAGTATATCATGTTAACCCCACCTTCTAATGTTCCTGAATATAAGTGGGAAAGATCAGCTAGTGTGGAACCATTCTCGTTTGTCAATATGAAGTTTTGTGAAAAAATTTCAGCATCTCGTCTCAATCGCAGGCGAAATGGTCTGTAATAAACATAAACATTTCACAGATGTGGTCTATTATTTCATGCAGACAATCAAAGACAAGATTGCTGATTGCTGGCCTGTGTTTGTGTCATGTCTGAAGACATAATAAATAGTGTTTTTTCTTCTGGAATGTGAAATTTCACCTTCGGAAGGCAACAAAGTCCAGATGCAGAGCTGTGTCCTGGGGAAGGGTGGACCTCGTGGCTCTCAGGTGCCTCCTGTGAAGATCCTCTCTGTCGTAGGACAAGCCTTCATAGTGTCTGATGTATGGGCTGATGGCTCGCAAGGCTCCTGACAATTGAAAGAAGGCTGCATATTAAATGTCAATATTATATGTTCCAGATACATGTAGCATTTACCAGGGTGACACTAAGCACACATTAGCAAACACTGAAAAAAAAAAAGTTTTAAAATAGTCCGGAATTAAAGAAACACAAGAAAATACAAAAAATTAATTTTGTCGACACATTTTCAGGAGCCTGCGATCAATACGAGTATTCATGGTCCTGTTTGGGAATTTTCATCAAAAACGTGAGCGTGACTAAACTGAAAAACTAATGCTAAAGCTAAAAGCTATTGTGACTGTAATTTACGCATGTGAACAGGGTTGTAGCACCAAATTTGGGCCTTAAGTATAAATCATCTTGGTGGACCCACACTACATGGTACTACACTACATAGAATACCTCGTAGTCCCATGCCCCAGTGTGTGAGACTTCTTTAACAATGCACATCAGCTCGCCTGTTGTAGTTCCAACTAAACCACCTCTTTGTATTAAAATAAAGATCAGATTAAAGTTTTGTGTAAAATCCCTCAGTCATCCAGGAAGAATCCAAAATCATTGAATTTCTCCTTTTGCCATCAGATTAAAGTGTAACTTGAGTAACAGAGCTTCTGACAAAGTAGTGCTTTTAGCTTTTAGCTTCACACTGCCAGAAAATATTGATGACATGAGCTGTAAAGGATCAATAGTTTAGATAGATCTTTATTGCAGGCATTCGGTCCGGCGTAAAAAAACAAACAGACAAACAATATTAAATTTGCCTTTTTCACACCATAATTTTTGTAGTGTCAGATCTACTGTGAAAATCACAATAACTGTAGGGGTGTACAATATACAAAAACATTTTCAGAGCCCAAATTTCAATGTCAATCACAGTGCTATTGTCCAGCCTAACAAAACAACTACTTCTACAACTAAAACTATAAGGTAATGTTATATTTAGTTATGAAGTTATGTTCCACCTCTGATTATTGGCCATTTACTCTGAAGTGAGAACAAATAGCTGACTGAGAGCAATGGCTAACTCTCTAGCTTAGTGTACTGATATTATTACAATATGAGGAAACTTGACATCAGTTTTTAATCTGTGTCTTCACGCATGTCTAACATGTTTACACAGGGTTTATACTGAGTCACTCACTCTGTAATTACCTCTTATTTACAAGAAAGTACCTGAACATGGCAATTACAAACCCTGGCACAAACATGCACTATTATTACACTCACCTTTGTGACCTAATACATGTGAAAGGCCCTATTAAGGTAATCTAAGTTTATTCTTGAATATAATGTAAAACACTTTGTCTATATTGGCCTTGGGTTTTCTATGAATGCGCATATTAGCATACCTTCGTGGACAAGTTCAGACATTTCACTCCTCAAAGAAGGTTAGTTCAACCTACACATCTATACACTACAATAAAAACTACAATGCTTTTTATTCATGATAAAGCAGTCACTAAGCAGTTTTTGAAATTTAAATCTTTCTGAGCTAGTAAATTCTTTTAATACAGTAAATCTTTAGCCCCACTGTAGGGTCCTCTCCACCCTCCCTCTTAAACATGACCTCCACACATTCCCCCAAACTTTATATGCCACTGTACCTGTCATAGATTCATGCCAGTGGAGCAGTAACAGCAGCAGCCAATGGTACTGAACCCTCATGGTCTCCTTCTCATTGGTGGATCTCCACTGCTTTACATTGTCTTCTGCAGTAAGTCCTCTTGTTCATCCCATTTCCTGAACCTCTGTTGTCTCCGGCGGTTCGTACCTGTGGTGTGAACTGGAATGTGCCAAGTTCAAGCTGAGACTCAGCGCGGAGATGTGACTGACACTGACACTGCAGAAGGCAGATTCAGACATGTTACCCAACATTTGCACAATACTTTGGATAATATTGTAATGAAGAGATGATTATGAATTATTACTAGGGGAAATAAGTGGTGCTGGACCGATATAGAATTTAAAGCCAATACCGATATCTGTAATTTGGCTTATTGCTGTTGCTGATAACTGATAACAATACCAAAACTGCGTTTTTAAACTACACTGCAAGGACCCCAAATGTATCTTAAAGGTGAACTATGTATCTTTTCTGCTGGAAGGTCCATCACCTGCTTGTCTCCATAGAGATTGTTATTGATTCATAGAATGTTCCACTGAATGACATTAAACATATAAAAAAAAGTATGCAACACCACCTGGCCAAATTACAGATCAAATATCTGGAGTGGAGAGGTTGCTTAAAGTGAGAATGCATATTTTTAAGGTACTTTACGGAAATAAAAACACCTGTAATTTAATAAATGTTACATAGTTACATTTAATAGCACACTGTGGAATATTCCAGGTAAAGCAGTAACATTTCATTGGAGACAATCAAATGTTACATAGTGCACCTTTAAGTTGTAGTAAATTTCACAAATAACTGTTTGTGAAAACAAAACATATTTATTTGGGACATAACATTATTGGTTGCATGATTTTGTACAATCATATTGAGACAATAAAGTGCATTGACAACAAACTGGGAAACACACATGGCCACATAGAGACTGGGGCTGTGTAGTAGAAATATCTATCCCAAATATTGGCAAAGTTTTCCATACGGAAGAGTATCTGAGGAAAACACTCCAATATCACCAATATCATAACCAATAACTCATAACCAATAACCCATCCCTAGAAATAAGATTCTGTTCAAATAAAAAGCACACAACTGGAACCAGTGAAATCTGGTCAGAAACACTGACAGGTTCTCATATACCTTTCAGGGATAAATGCTCTGTCAGTGAGTAGGTGTAATTATCAGTCACAAAGACTGCAATTATTTAGATTACAGAGTAACCACTATAAACAAAAATTTATTGAAAAACCTCAAACTACATACTGTTAACCCATTAGGTCCATGGAGTTATTGCTACTTTAGCAGTTCAGACTCTTCTTTGCTCCTAAAATATGCAATCTGAATGGACTCCTACATAAATCTCAAATCTAACTGCAGTGCTAAAAATATATATACATTTTCCAAAACTGTGCAGCCCTGCTCTCGATGACAAACTGATTAACCTTTGAACCGTGATTCATTCTTTACTAATTTTAACTCACAAAAGAGAACTATGTCCTGTTCTAATAGTGGTACTGGAGAAAGTAAAAGTTCAAAAATATGAGAAGGGAGTTAAAATATCTTGGACTTCCATAGTGTTCATGGGTTATGACAATTTGCAAGATTTTGAGGAACCATAACATCATTGTGAGTAATAAAAACTAAGGTTTTTCTTCTCAAAATAAATATGCATGAGAAAGCACAAGTGACTCATTGGGAAACAATCATCATAGGCAGAAGAAAGAGAAAAAGACAACAAAATGCATGCATACTATTATATGTATATTGTTTCTTATAAAAAGTGCTTAATTTCTATCATGTTCCCAGTCTTACAAATATCGACTCAAAAAGGCAGACAATATGCTGCAATGTAGTCAAAGGGTTTGGTTTTCATCCGACTTTGAGGTGTCAAAGGTCTCATAGCTTAGGAGAGTTCTACATCTACTCCTATTGACCTAAATGCCCCACTCATAAACATCTAAGGACAGCTTTCTGGCTTGGGACAGTACTATAGAAAAACTTACACCAATATTTCCCAGGCCTGATTTTCTTACCCTCCCCCCTCTATTTAATCATCCACTGACTGCCTCCCCCTAGAATCCTCCTTGTCCACCTCGGATTGGTCAGGATAGGATCACCCGGACCCTAGATTGATGACATCACACAGTTAGTCCCACCCCCAGGAGTAGGATATGCACAACTACATTCCCATATGGTGCTTCCCTTAACTGCAGAGCCAGGAAGAAACTTTACACCTACATGTGGCCTGCATTTCTGTCCAACATTTTGTCCCAATACCATTAAGTTGCACCTATTAACCTGAAACTAAACTTTGAGGCAATAATTCTTCAGTATCAGTTAAGTAAATGAGTATAAACCATTAATATGAAGTGCTCCTTTGCCTATAAAAGTATGCAGAGGTTACTGGAGGTCATTGACACCACACAATGGCCTGACTTAACTGCATGCTTTGTTTTATGAAATACAGCTTAATGTTAGGCTTTCATGTAGCATTGTCTACTGCATATTTGAAGTGAGTCCAGATTTTATGATAGACCCTAAACATTTAATCTTTGCTTTTAACATTTATCTTAACATTTACTTTGAGCTTTGACTAAATCTTTTGCACATTACAAAGACAATGTTTTATTTTTCCTTTAGGGCTGCCTGTTGAAACCATGTCCTGTCTGGGAACACATCCATACAAGATTATAATCAATTTTGGATGGGTTTCAAACTGTTTATGTAATCACAGTTTTTGGACCCATACTTGGTCCCACTTGGAAAAGGTGCTGCATCTCAAGGGGCTTTCTATGAATAAATTGAATGCACCTATTAGCTATCTTCCAACATCTACACTGTTGTACTCAGTCTTTTGTAACGTTATAGTTATTTTTGCTAAATTCTGTACCTTAATTTTATTCAAAGGAGAATTTAATATTCTAGATACAAATTTTAAAATGTAATTAGAATTAGATTTTTTAAATCTAATTTCTGATAACTCTTTGACTTTAACTTTGATAACTTCTGGAAAGTAGAGATTTCCAGAAGTAGAGTCCTGATTGTCTTATCTTATCTTGTCTCAAACTGTGCTGAGCCTCAAATAAATCATTTTTAGAGAAGAGGTTTGAGACAGTTTGTGGTAAAAAGGTCCTGTTGAATGGTTTGAAAAAGATGGCCATACAGTAACTCACAGTAAATGTATAGCAGCTTGTTTGATTAGACATCGGCTGATGAGATTTTATCTTTGCTAAGCAAAAAAGAGATGTTCCCAAGTGTCCAGGGAGCCTATTTGGGGGTGTTTCCCATTGTATTTGAGCCTAATTGAAATGAACACAACGCTGACATCTAATCTGACCCTACAAATGTCTGGCATCTCGTCCCTAACAGTGACCCATGGGATAATTAGTGCATTTGAAAAAGGCCTTTTCCTAGAGCTTCAGATGACTATGGGAATTATCAAATCAAATTGTTCTGCTGACATAACCAAATGTTAACCCCTTCTCAGACCTGACCCATTTCACAAAGAGGCACAGCCCTCTCTCCTAACCTGGAACAATATGCGGTCTGTGCCATGCTCCATAAAGACAGCATTGTGCTTCAGTCTCAACATGGATCCAGAGCCTGAAAATCTGCTATTCACCACCATGAGTTTATCCTCATTTGATATCTTCATTTACACATCTTATAGACTCAGAGCATAATCAAATGACCAAGCATGTCTTATTAAGACCCAAAGTGACATGTAGTCAATGTGATTCAACAATATGACTTAATGCAGGACATTTACACTGAGCTGAAAGCTGGGAAGTCAAAATGACTAAACATATGCTTGCTTTCACAAAGAATACTCACTAAAAGTTTAATGGTCCCTGTACACATAGTGCACTGCTGCCCTCTGCAGATAGAAAATGTACATTAAATACAGAATAATGGTTTTCTGTGCATGTCAAAAGAGTAGTTCTTGTTTAGTGGGAAGAAAATAGGTTTTTGTTTTTGTAATATTCTCTCCTGAGGGCTTAAATCAACTATAATGCAATAATTTGTTTTATTAATTTGCTGATGGTTTAAAGGTGCACTGTATTACTTTTCTGGTGGAGAGTCCACCACATGCTTGTATTCATGGAGCTGTTATTGCTTTGTGTTTGAATAAATGCAAAATACATACTGTGGAACATTACAGGCAAAGCAATACTGTCTCCATGGACACTAGCATGTGGTGTATCATTCAGTTATATAGTGCAACTTGAATTCATTATTAATTATTAATTAATCATTGCATTTATATAGCATCTTTCAAAACGCCTAAAGCACTCCATATTATATATCATATATATGTATATATATATATATATATATATATATATATATATATATATATATATATATATATATATATATATATATATATATATATATATATATATACTTTTTTTTTTTTTAAGGAAACTTCATGCAGGGTGAATCAGTAAGTACAGACTGAATTGCAAAATGTTGCAAAAGTAACAATCGAAGCTTTGGTACATCCTGATTGTGACAAATATTTGGCCTGACGTTTTAAACACGCTGTTATCTGACTGTGAACACCACAAGTACCACAAAGGAGGGACAGCCACAACACAGCTACTGTATCATTTCTGCACCAAGGACGTGACGCTGACAGTTACCCAAAACAGGTCAGGCGAGGACACACACACACATCTCAAACACACACGTGTACACACATCTCACACACACGCACACATCTCAAACACACACGCAGACACACATCACACACACAGAGTGCAGAGGGATACAGTTTGTTCTAATCACAGTATAATATGGAGATAACCCAGGTTAGACATGGTGTTCAGCTGCACTCATAAATAGCCTTGAAACATTTGGTAAAGCACAAATAATGTGTTTCACCTGTTTTAGAAGAAAGTATATGGACCACATTAAACACAAAGAAGGCTTAAAGTGCTTTGCTGAACAGGAAGGGCACATTAAAACCAATAGTTCATTTGACATTAAGTACCCCCAAAGATAACATTTTGGCTTTCCAAGTTGCTGGACTATATGGCATAATGGCTAAAAGAAATATAAAATGAGACTAAGCCAGGTCTAAAAATAGACGAAACCAAAAAAAAGTCGTCCTAAATAATGATTAACACACATGAGAAAAATTAAATACTACTCAAACTGTAGAGGGCCCAGCAAACCACCAGCAGTACAGGAACCCCAGTGTGAGAAACACTAAACCTAAATTTGCATGAGCTGAACTGACATGAGAACTGCCAGTGATAAATTTTAGTTTGAGGAATGTTAGATATGATGACGCTTCCAGCTAACCCTAAACATTTTTACTAGGCCTATAGCTTGAATGTCGCATATTACTGACGTTTGTGTTAGTAAATGTAAAGAAGTCAAAGGAGGCTACAGTACTCACCATATTCCCACAAAAGGCTGCAACGTCAACACCCGATAGAGCCGAAAGAGGGCGCTATTAAATCACGTTTATCCCATGTTTTTCTGAAGTAAAGTGACTGAATAGGCGGATACCTAAACGCATAGGGCTCCTCTCTCGTTATTCAAACCAGCATTAATGTAAAACAGTGCATGGATGATCAATTATAACTGTGTTCATGTTCATTGATTTTTCATACAAATTTTTTAATATTTTTTTTAAATTGTTAATCACCATGGCAAGAGTCCTTTTTAAAAAATCATTCTGAAATTCATAGATGTAGCAGGTATTACAAGAGGACTGAATAACAGATCATAAAACTACATTGGTAATGACAGACCTGCTGTGTGTTAGATATGTCTATATTTGTTTATAGTTCTGACAAATGAGCCTGTCCATTAGCGTCTAAATGAAGCCAGATGTGAGGCAGTGAGGGGGTCGAGCCAGAGCAAGACCACCTCCTTTTCAGTTTACTGAGATTTTTATTGTGACAGGTCAAGGCCATGCAGTCACAGTTATCTAACATGAGTGAACACGAAGAGTTTGGGACACCTGAGTAACCCTGGAGTTACTCTGGATAATTTGTAAAAATTAAATTTACTTTGATTCTACTTCTAAATTTACTGTGGTCATGTTTTGTCCAGTTGAGTGCAGAAGGTGAATGCTCTGAAGTATGTTTAGCCTATTTCAAATAACATGGCTTAAATAGGAGCCAACATTTCTGATCACTTGCGGTTCAAGTTGCCATGTGTGCTATTCTACAAACAATAACAGTAGGTGAAATTTTAACAGCTGAGTGAGACTTAATCCAGGAAGTGTTGTCTAATAGACTTTTGACCTCTGGTGTTGGCAGAAGCTGAGCCTTTGGGCATGTTCTTCTGATACCAGCCTATCAGTGAAATGGCTGTGAGCTAACTTC